AGCCTCACCAGGAAGAGGCTGCCCCTTCCCCCTCGCACCTGGCCCCCGTGGCTCCGCCTAGTCCCTGCAGTACTATGGGGCGGCCGCAGAGGAGGTGACGCCTGCCCACTTTGCTCTGCTGCCTCCAGGTGCCCACCCCACGTGACAGGACCCCGTTGCGAGGACCACGTTGTCAGTCAGCAACAGCCTGGACGTGAGTGGTGGGATGAGCGGGGCTGCCCAGACCTAGAGCGAGAGCTTTGGGGGCCCCCACCCCAACTCTGTGCGCCAGACTCAGTGTTCCGGCTTCTCTCCCTAGACGTGGCCTCCATCCTGATCCCTCTGCTGCTGCTCCTGCTGCTGCTCCTGGTGGCAGGGGTGGTGTTCTGGTATAAGCGGCGAGTGCGAGGGTGAGCCACTGGGAGTCTGGAGAGTTCCGTTATTTTACAGCCCCCTTCACTAGCGTCGCCGTCCTCTGACCCCTGCCTCTCCCCAGGGCCAAGGGTTTCCAGCACCAGCGGATGACCAATGGGGCCATGAATGTGGAAATTGGGAACCCCACCTACAAGATGTATGAAGGCGGAGAGCCCGATGATGTCGGGGGCCTACTGGATGCCGACTTTGCCCTTGACCCTGACAAGGTAGACTGGAGGCCATCGAAGGGGCTTGCAAGGGCAAGGCCTTGGGGGTGGGCAGGACGACTAAAGGTGTCGCCCCGACTGATGGCCCAGAAGTGGGAGCTCGAATGTTCTAACCCTCTCAACCCTCTGTCACTTTTGCAGCCTACCAACTTCACCAACCCAGTGTACGCCACGCTCTACATGGGGGGCCATGGCAGCCGCCACTCCCTGGCCAGCACGGACGAGAAGCGAGAACTCCTGGGCCGGGGACCTGAGGACGAGATCGGGGATCCCTTGGCATAGGGCCCTGCCCCAACGGACACCCCCACAAAGCCCCTGCCGGACACGAGTCCTTCAGTGAGCCCCCTCCCCAGCCAGCCCTTCCCCGGCCCCGCCGGATGTACAAATGTAAAAATGAAAATGAAGGAGTTACTTTTTATATGTGAGCGAGCAAGCGAGCACAGTATTATCTCCTCTCTCCTCCCTGCCTGCCCCTCAGCACCCCACCCCCCCATGCTGCCGAGAGCGGGCAGGGAGGGAGGGCTCTGTGGCTCAAAGGTACGAAGGAGCCCACCTCCATTCCCTACCACACACCCCTGGGAGCTGGTGACAGCCTTCTGCCTGGGCAACACCCTGGCCAAGGCTCCCTGTCCCAGCTTCCCCTCTCAGTTCTCGGGGGGGGGGGGCTACTTCTTGGGAGGTGGCGTCCTCTGCTGACCCTGTCTGGAAGATTTGGCCTTGCGAGGTAGGAGGAGAAGGAGCTGTTTAGTTCTTGAGGGAAGTCACCCTGAGCCCTCTGCTCCCACTTTAGGGGCACCTCTGAGATGGCCACGCCCAGTATCCCTTCCAGACAGGCCCTCCCTCTCCAGTGCCCCCCACTGTGGCTCCTAGGGCTGTATACATTCTTTGGTAACTGTCCCCAGCTTCCCCTCCTCTGAGGACCGGAAGGGTTGGGGCATACCAAGGAAGGGCAAGCGGGCAGCCCCATTTTGGGGACATGAACGTTTTAATAATTTTTGCTGAATTCCTTTACAACTAAATAACACAGATATTGTTATAAATAAAATTGTAAAAAAGAAAAAAAGAGAAAAAAAAAAGAAAGAAAGAAAAGAAAAAAGCCACTGTGTCTGACTGCTAGTGTGAGATTTTTCGGGGCTGGGGCTGTGCTTGCCTGCTCCAGCCACCAGAGGGAGCTTTCCCACACGCCAGAGGCCGGCCTGAGAACCTAAGGTCAATGTCTCCAGCCACACTCTATCTTCCAGTCTTCCTGTGGCAGGAAGAGCTGTTTCCCCACCCCAGCACACCGCCTTGGAGATCTGTTTCACTGCTCTATACCCGCCACTGTCCTCCACAGTGAGCTGGCACACCAGAAAGAAATGGGTGCACTGGGTCATGAGCCTTCCCAGGCCTTCAGGATGGCCCGCTACCACTCCCCTTTGAAATGCTGGCATCTTACCCTATGATGCCATAAGTAAAACCACAGCTGTAAGACCAGCAAGATGATTCCGTGGGAGAGTGAGCACAAACCAGCTCCATAGAATTGACCTCTGATCGCTACATGTACACTTAGGGGGGAGGGACTAGAGAGGAGGAGAGTCAAGAAGGCAGACAGTTTGCCTGGCCCACAGGCCTCCAGCAAACACTGTGGGCATGCCAGGAGTTGACCAACAAAAGACTTGTGCCTTCTAAGTTACTCCAGGTCTCCTTGGACCTCTCTCGAAGGGGACTGAACCTTTTGCAGAAGGTTAGGTAGCTTTACACTGTCCAGAACCGAGGGAGGGTTGGAACCCTGTGCTCCCAACAGCAGCCAACACAATGCTTCCCAAAGGAACAGCTCTGCTCATCCCTGATCCTCACAGGCTCAGCTCCCCCCCCCCCCACCTCCAGGCATTTATCCCTCGCTGCCTCCCTTGGGAAAAGGAGACGCACATCCAGGAACAAGACTATCCCCCTTTCCTCTATTCTCAAGACCTCTTCTCCAACTTTATCCCCACACCCTGCTCTGAGATCGTCATAGCTTCCTTCCACCCACCCCCCCTCAGGGCCCTGGGATGAGCAACTCCTGCTGGGATCCTTAAGTGATAGGCAGGCGTGTGGCTCCTTCTGGCCACCAGGTGGCATCTACACTGCTGTGGCACGGTTTATCCGAAAGCTCAACACGCTAATTATGCACCTGCCAAGGACCCTAGCCCAGCCTCTCCCTTCCTTCCCTCAGGCTATTTTGTGCTGCCCCAGCTACCCTCTGTCAGCCATCTTCTTCCCTTCCCCAGAGCCTGCTCACTGTGTCCACACCCCCACCCCAGCAGTCCCACCCTCACCCCTCACAGCCCCTCCTCCTGCCAGCCTGCATCTGTAGCCCCCCAGCCCACCCCCGCCCCAGGGGAGCCACTGATTCTCTGCTTGCCACCTCAAGATCCTGGGTAGAGCAAGAGGGCCCCCAGCTGTGGCGTAGGAAGCATACCCCTTCGGATAACACCCTCCCTCTGCTGGCCAGGGCCAGAAGGGTCCACCTGGAACAATCTCCCAGCAATCTAGCCAGCCAAGTGGGAGGAGGGCATCTCCAGAACCAAGAGATACTAAGCAGAAAAATACCGGCTGAAGCAGATCAGATGAAAGGCAGGGATTCACAGAGAGATTTTTCGGGAACCGGGGCCAAGACCCAGGGATAAGTAGCATGCACATGTGTGTATACACACACGTATGTGTCATCTCTGAGAGAATCCAATGGTCCGAGATTAGCCAAAACCGTGATGGGGTGGGTCTGGTCTCCTAAAGATGGAGATTTTGGCCATGGCTTTCTGTCCTGGGCACTGAAGGCATGGACTACCCTTTGCCGTCATCTAGTACTAGAACAGGTCCCCTACTTGGGCTCAGCCCTGAATTCTGGTTGGGGCCATTTGGCCTCGTACCTGACACTTTCGTCCTGTCTTTCTTCTCTCAGTCCTGACTGCAGCCACATCGCTGCTTCCTGGTTTTTGTCTCCTTGGGTGTCACTAAGTCCGCCTCATCCCCTCAGCATTCCTGTCCTTTCCCTGACCCTCTCTTTTTTGGTGTCTGTCACATCCAATACGTGTCTGTCTGTTCTTTTCATATTCTCCGGCTTGTATTTAGTGTGTGTGCCCAGCTCCATGGGTGTTTGCCTCTGTCAGGGCGGAAGAGTGTTTTGTGTACCTACCCGTTTACCCACCTCACTGTATGCCCCTGTGTATAAATCACGCGCCCCCCTCCGAGTGTGCGAGTGTGCCTCTGTCGGTGTGCACTCACTGCTACAATGTAGCAGGCTACTATGAATGTGTTATATGCCTGGAGACATATCTTGGGGTGTGGGCCTGTCTCCATCTCTTCGCTTGTTCCTATCTCTTGCTGTCTAGGTGTTGGTCATACCACCACCTCAGACTCAGCCATGGTGCATAGCAACAGCTGACAGTTGAAGACTCCCTGGGCAGGGGAGAGAGAGACCGGTGGGAGGAGGGAACAGACGAAGAAAGAGCCCAGCCAGCGGATGATGACAGACAGTGCTGGAGCTGGGGACAGAGACAAGGACAGAGATAGACAGGGAAGGGGACAGGACAGGACGGGAAGGGCGGGGAGTGGGAAGATGGGACTGTGGATTGTACCAAGAGGCATGGCAGATGGCACCCAAGACTTCCTGCCCAGCCCCCACGTAAGGCGGCTCTGGGCTGGGCAAGGGTCAGCAATGCGGGTCGAGGGGCAAACTTAAAAAGAGCCCATCTAGCCAAGGGGTCCCGAAACCGCAGAGGTGCTGCGGGGCGGGGCGGGGCGGGGCGGGGCGGGGCGGCGGGCGCCGTTTGTCAACCCTATTGACAGACGTGATGGGGTTTCCGTCCGTGATCAATGATTCTCATCTCCGGGCCGAATGAGCCGCGGGGCGCCCATCCATCCCCGTCAGTACCGCGCGCTGTGGCAGTCGCCCGAGGCCCTGCCAGACCTCGCCTCAGCCCCTGTCCAGCTCCCTGCACGGGACCCACCTTGGCCTGGAGCACAGAAGGGACCCCTCCGCGCCCCGATCTCCCAGGACCCTGGTCCTGCGGCGCGCGCCACCGAGCCTGGCGGGGCCCCTGTTCCACGACGCCCCCTTCGTGCGTACAGTCCAGGGCCTCGAGCCCCACGCCCAGTCCTAGCCCTCATCCGCGCCCAGACCTGGCGTCTTTGGGGTGCCGCCCCCCAAGCCCCTGGACCCTCTCGGGCTCCACACCTGAGCCAGGGGCGTGTCCGGGGCGTGTCGCGGTGAAAGTCACCTTCCGTGCCCCCAGCTGGGCGGGAGGGGGCGCGCGGGGCGCGGCCGGGATTGGAGCACCGCGGAGCCCCGCCCCTCCCGCCCGCCCGCCCGCCCGACTCAGACCCAACTTTCTCCCCCGCCCGCGCCCCGCCCCCGGCGCCGCGCTCCGCTCCGCTCGCTCGGCGCTCAGTCCGCGGGCCGAGCCGCCCGCTCCCGCCGCCGCCCTCAGCCCGGAGCCCCGAGTGCTGCCTGCGCCCAGCCCGGCCCACCCCAGGACCCGCCCTGCCCGACCCGCTCGGCCTCCCGGGAAGATGCGGCTGCTCCCGGAATGGCTCCTCTTGCTCTTTGGGCCGTGGCTCCTTAGGAAGGTAAGGGTGACAGAACCGGAGCCAAGGCGCGGGGTCCCGGACGCCCAGAACCCTGCGTGCCAGGGTGCTCGGTGCGTCCGCCCCGCCCCCAGCACTAAGCGTCCCAACTTTGTGCGTCGTGGGGGGACGCGGACAGACAGACTGCCCGCTTTCACACTGCCAGGTGCCCAGCGCAAGTTGGCTAAGGGTTAGAAGAAGGCGCGGGGTGGAGGCCGGGCTCCGATCCGCTTCAGGCGTGACGGGGGAGGGGACGAAGCGCGACCCGCGAGTGCGCCAGACAGGGAAGGAGTGCGAGACAGACAGACAAGCCAGAGGGTGTTAGCCTAGCCTTCTTTCCGCGCCTACTTTGCTTGCCTTCTTCTGTCTGTCCTTCCACCCCTCACCCTCTACCTTCCCATTTCTCTTCCTCCTTACTTGTCACAAAGCCAGGTAGGCTCTGAGATCCGAGCATACACGGCCCAGGCACGCGCTTACAGGACCCGCACCAGCAGGGCCAAACTTGGCCACAGTCCCCCATCACATTTCCCGCGGAGACACCATCTCCCCTGCACAACCTCACAGACACACCCCCCTTTCGCGCCGATGGGTGGGGGTTGTCTGGGAGGGGAGTCTCCCCCCCCCCCCCCGCCCTCCACCCCAGCCTTCTTCGCTGCCTCTTTTCCTGGGGTTTTTGGGTGAAGACCCAAAGGCTAGGAAGGGCCCAGACCTCCTCCTACCGGACCCGTTCCTTGAAACTGTCTGTCATCAGCTCACATGCACGGTGTGCTCATACGTGCCCTTGTGGAGTGTGTGGATTAACACCAACCCCTGTGTGCTAGCGTGTGTCCAGGGAACCCAGGCTCGGTGTTTAGCACTGGGGCCCAGAGTGAATGTTGATGCTGGTGTGCCCTGGAGACGCCAGCCGTCTTTGCCTGGATCACTGTACCTGCCTCGCAGTGCAGCCATCTATGGGCCCGGGTGTGTGACCCACAGCTTCCATTCACAGCTATGACCCAGCTCGGTTAAGGACGAGCAGGTGGCTGCTCCATAGCCTTCTCTCGTGGAACTCAGTCGCCAGCCCCTAAGAGAGTCCAGAAGAGGCAAATTATTCTCTGAAACACCTGGGCCTCCAGTGTCCTCAAAAATTACAGTAGGGTAGAGCCTGCCCACATGAACTAGGAGAGTCCTGTGACTCCCCCGAAGCCACCTGCCCAGTGACCTTGATTGGATGGAAGCTGGGGGGGTGCACTGTGTGAACATTGCTACCTCTAGTGGGAGTTTCTTTTGACCCCGAGGCCAGGTTTTACACCAGGGGGGATGTAGGAGAGGGTCAGGTTCAACACCACAATGTATGAAGGCCTGGGGTCAAAGAGGGAAGGATTCCATTGCCCTGTTCCCCACCCCACCCCCAACTTCTCCACTCCCCCCCCATCAAATTAACTCCCCCGTGGACAGATCTGGTTTAATTTCCTTCGCCCCCTGGAGGGGAATAAAACATCTGGCGGAGACTTGAGGGAGAAGAAGCATGGAGCTATGAAAGATGAGGTCTATCTGCCCGGGAGAGAGCTGCAGCTGTGGGGTGGCTGTGTGGGAATCGGCAGGGAAGGGCCTCTCTGCCATTTGGTCCAGCCTGTGGACATGTGAGAATGTGTGCAACTTTGCACAGAGAATTGGGTGAAGAGATGTGTTCTCATATGGACTTGTGAGTGGGGTGTGTACACATGTGTAGACCCCCCCCCAGGGTCTCGGATGTATTTGCACGCTGGGGCACATCTGTTGTTTCTGTGTGAGTCTGGGTTTGTGAGTGTATATCCCTGAGCTCTGCCCGTGGCTTGGAGTCCAGTCGAGTGTGAGCATGGGTTGTGAGCCCTCAGCAGAGATGTTCACATACCTGAATGTAAACATGGGCACTCGTCAGTGTGTCTGCGTTCAGGGTTATCTTGATGCCAGTGTTGGGAGTGGGCAAACGTCACATTGAAGACACTGGTGGGCACAGTTTACAAGACAGCTCCTTGGGAAATCTTGATCGTCGATACTACCAGCCCTACCTTCCCTCAGGAATTCTCCAGTTTGGTTTCTTCCTTTACTTCTAGGCCCTGAGACTCCTTTCAGGGTCTGGTACACTTGGTTTCCATTGCCCTGGGGGCTTTGGCTTCTTGGCTGGCCTGGCTGCTTCAGGATCTTCCCAATACAATCTTCAGCACTTCTCTTCCATCCATACCTCTGCCTTCCCTGCCCCTTGCCAAAGCAGCCGCCTACTGGGAGAAACAGCAGGCAATCAATAGTCACTAATCACTAATCACTAATTACTAATTAGCTGGGGGAGGGTGGGTGGGGATGCCTGTGGGACCCTTCAGCTCTATCCTGCCTCAGGGAAGGATTAGACCTCTCTCAGCCTAGGCCAGCCACAACCGTGTGCCAACCACCGCCTCCCACCTCCTTACCCTCCTCAGGCCCCCTAGCTAATCTCTGGCTGGGCCACTTAGGCACGCACAGCCTGGGCTTGGGCCCAGAGCTGCTGGCTGGGATTTGGGGGGGGGGTAATCAGGGGCCGCAGCTGGGCCAGAGACAGGGGGGGGGGGTTTACAGTGACAGTTCCCTTGGGCCAGAGCTTGCAGCCAAGCCTCACATCCTGAATGGGAGGGGCACCGTTGGGAAGGAGAATTTGCAAAGGGTCATGCTTGGGCTGGGTGAGCAGCTAGATAAGAGATCTAGGAGGAGGTAACCACGGTGAAGTAACGAAGCAGAAGGAAGGCAGGGCAGGGTCACCGGGGGCAGGGACCCACGCTTGAATAGTGGCAAGATGACCCTTGAAAGACAGCAGGTAAGGAGAGGGGGTCAGTTGTGGAATAATTGGCAAGGAGCTTGGGAACTTTGGATAGAGAGAGCTCCAATAACTCAGTTTAGGCGCGGGCAAAGGGGGCAAGATTAACAGGAGAGGGGCTCAATGGAGAGGTCTTCCAGCTTAAGCTCAAAGGGGATCCCAGGATATACAGTAGAAGGAAAAGCGAACCGGCCTTGAGCACTGGAAATTGGCGAGTCTCCCCTTCTCCCCACGCCTGCCCCTCCTCCACCGCTACCCCGCCCACTCCCCCTCCGGCTCAGGCTTCGGGAAATTACATCCCCGCTCCGCGGCTCCCCCCCCCACCCCCACCGCGCCCTGGAGCTGGCGCCTTTATAGGCACATTTATTGCAATAATAAAGTGAGGCGGGGGGCGGGGGCGGGGGGGCAGCCGTTCCCGGGGGGACCGCGCCGGCTCTAGGAAGCAGGGAAATAAAATAAAATAAAATAAAATCAAAATTCAGATAACGGTGAGCCTTGCACAGCAGGCCGCGGGCTGGCTGCGGGTGGGGCTGCAGGGGAGAGGGCGATTGGCCCAAGGACAGAGCCCCCTCACCAGCGGGCCCTCATCCCCGCTCTGTAGTGTCTGGAGAGGTCCCTTTGCCTCCACGGGCCTGGGCCCCTCCCAAACTTGATTCCCAGGCCCACCTGCCGGCCTTCTGCCGTTTTCCTCGTCTGAATACCTGTCCTCAAGCTCCCATCTCTGTCCATGCTGCCCATCTCTTTCCTCCTCCCGTTTCCCACTGCAGGGTCCCCAGTGGGTTCCCTCACCCCGTCCTAGGACTCTATCCTTCCGCAACCTTGTCTCTACCTAACAACCATCTTCCTGTTCGCCCCATCACTGCCTCCCTGTCCCATCCTCATGGCAGCCAGGGTCCACTGCCCATCTGTCATTGCTCATGCCTGTGGCCATTTTAGCACCTACCTTCCTCTATACCCTCTCTGCATTTCTGCATTCTTCTGGTCTCTACCCAAACACCTAGTCACCATCTCCAGTCTCTCCAATCTTGCCCCCATGACTACCCTTGTGGCAGCCTCATCTCTGCAGCCCACACTTCCAACAGCCCAGTACCCAATCCTAGTCCCGGTCCATCTCTGCCCTAATACCTCAGCCCGTCCTATCTGCCCCCCCCCATGCACACTGTCACTCTGCCCAGCTCCCAGGCAGACTTCACCCCTTCACCCTTCCCTGACCTGACTGCAGCAAGTTCTCTACTCACAAGGACTCAGGGTGCTATTTGCTTGCTTCCCCAACCCAGGCCTAAACTGTTCCCTTCCCAAACACAGGGTGCTGTCGCCGCCTCCCCATGAATAAACCCTAAGCCCAGTCTGACCCAAGGGGAAGAAGAGAAGCTATGGACCAGGCTGGAGGCCCAGGGGAGGTGCGCCCGCCCTGCAATGCGGCTGAGGGCCTGACAGCCTTATTATCCTCCCTCCCAGTTCCCAGCAGTCCTGTCCCCAAAGAGCCCCTGCCTCCCGCCTCGGTGGAGTTTGTTTAGCATCAGGAGGTAGCCTCAACTCCCCCTCAGGTGCGTGGGCCTGCTGCCTTGGGGCAAAGTGTTCCTGCCTGGCTGAGTTCCTCCCGAACAGGCCTGAAGGAGTCCAGCCACCACACACCTCCACCTCCCACCCCAGCTGACAGCCAGCCGGCTAGCCTCTCCCCTCTGCAAATGTCACAGAGCCCAATTAGTTTAATTAAACTAGCTTTCAAGTTAGGGGGGTTCCCTCCTTGGACAACACATCGCTCAGGCCCCTTAGTCGTTGGAGGGGGCTCGCAGGGGGCTCCCTTACCACACCTTGTCCCCCCCCCCCGAGTCCTGTGCTCCCAACCCACTGCTGGAGACTGATGTGAGGAGGAGAGGGCCACAGAAATGTCACAATGTCACGGGGTGGGGGCACTCCCCAAACTGGAAATTGGAGACAGAGATTTGAGGAAACGGTGGAGAGAGAGATGGGAAAACAGGGGACGAGGGAGAGCAGGCAGGAGAGGGAGCAAGAAGAGCCTGAGCGATCAAGGAAGCCAGAGGGAGGATTTGATTTTATTTTATTCCATGTTCCCATTTCTCGGCTCGTTTCCTCTCAGGCTCTCGCCCCTCCCGGTCCAAGCTCCCCATCCCCAAGGTCGCTTCAGCTGCCTCCCCCCACCCAGCTCTTCCCTTTTATCTTAGCAGTCTTCAGCAGTGGGGTGGGGGCTGTGGGTACCAAAGCCCAGGGATTTGCAAGGATCACAGAAGCAGACAGCAATTTGTCTGGGATCAGAGGTGGGGGGGGGAACATCCTGGCCCCTCTCTCTGCCCTGCCAAACCTCATTTCCACCCCATCCCTTCCTCTGAGGAGATTGAATCCACCAGCCCTGAGCAGTCCCAGACTGGGTGCAGGACACAGAGTGCCAGGATGTCCTAGGAAGCAATAGCTGGAGGCATCCTAGCATTGAGCCAGCTGCTTTGGGGGGGGGGGGAGAAGGCTGGGAGAGCTGGAAATAGGAGAGGTTTAGTCCACCGTGGGAGAAGTTAGGGTTAAGACCTCAACAGCACACCCTTTGCTGCCCTTGAAGCCTTACCTACTCCTACCTCCAACCCCCTTCCTGGGGTTCAGCCCATCTCCTGGGGTGTCTTCCCTGCCCTCACCACCCCAGCCTCTTCCCCTAGCCCTACTCAGGTGAACCCTCCGGGTGTCAGATGCCAGCTCAAGCTTGTCTGTCTGAGTCAATCACTCTTGCCGCCTCCGCCCCCCTCACCTGGGTTGGGAGGAGAGCTGGATGGAGGAGTAAGGGGGGCAATAAATATGTATGACGTGCGGGTGGCGGCAGCATTAATAACCCGGGATCACAAGGCTGCAGGGACAGAGACCAGCTCTGCCATTTTTGTCCCCTGTGGACACAGTGTCTACTACTCGGGTGGATGCAAACAGAGGGGTCACCCATGCTTCCGGGTCCTTTACCACTCTATTCTCAGCCTGCAAATCAGCACACCCTGGCATCCATATACCATGTGCGCATGCTTGTTGGAACACACACTCATTTCTGTGGTATGAACACAGGCCACTGTCACTGTGGAGACACCCCCTTAGAAAGACCCTGACATGAACAAGTAACGGATTCATGCAGGAAAAATGACACCTCTAGACAATCACACAGCCACTCTACACACAGGCACACAACTACCACAGCTACACACACACATCACAACCACAAATTGACACCCAGCTTCACACACACACAGAGATTGGGGCATATGCATACCCCCACACACACCCCAGGTAATTCAAGCACAAATACACAATGGATGGGCAGCCACAAGTAGATGGGAACACACACACACACACACACACACACACACACACACACACACACACACAGCCTCCTCTTGCTGATAATGCACGGGCATACAGACAGACACATACACAGAGAAAATCATCACAGCCTTCACAGACTGAAGCTACCCCAGACAGAACACGAAGACACATATACACAACCATTTCAGGATAACAACCACCCCAGGCACACACAGAACTGCCTTTCTCAAGGGACTCGCAGGCAGTCAGAGCCCTACTACGGCGAGCAGCGTGTCTAGCACCGGCTGACTGACACTCTGACACACTCTGCTCCTCTCCCTCCCTTCTCATGCCTGCCAGAGCAGCCTCTCCATATTTCTTCTCACTCTCCCATCGCTCTCTCCCAGCTCCTTCACTCCCGGCCACCCCCTCCACACACACCCCAAGATAATTGATGGCCCGGGCCTGGCCCCGTCGCTCCCGCCTCTCGATCCATCTTGTACGGGCATCAGAGCTGTCTCCTAGATCGCCCGCCACCTGAGTCAGGCCGGCACGGTGGGCTGGCAGGGTGACTCCTCCAGCTCCTCCATGCTAAGGAGTGGGGACAGGAGGAGCGCCCCTTTTATTTTCCAGCTTCAACCGGTGGTGTGAGATTCTGTCTGCACTGTTGGGTCCTTAGAGGCCCCTCCCGGAAGTAAGCAGCAGAAAAGAGCTCTTTTCCTGATGCTGGGGGTTGAGGATGCCACGGTCAGGCTCATCACTGGGAACATCACAGGGCAGACTACCCAGAAAGGGTCGCCCCTTTCCCCTCCCACACCAAAACTGGCCGTCTGAGCCCACACTGGAGCTCGGGGACAGCCGCCGTTTTCACGGGTGTAGAAGCTAGGGTTCACACCTGAAGTGACTTTGGCCAAGATCACAGAGCTCGGAAAGGGCTCCAAGGCCTAACCCAAAACACTCCCGAGCCACCGCTGTGGACTGCCCAGTTCAGAGTCTCTCTTCTTTCTTCCCCCACAGGCGGTCAGCGGCCAGATCGCGGAGTCGGGAAGGCCGCAGTATCTGGAACTGCGACCCGCCATGGCCGGAGGGGGCGCCCGCAGCGCACAGCTCCCGGCGCCCGGCTCCTCCGAGGGCCTGGGCTCTGCGCGCTCCTGGAGCTGGGCCTGGCCCTCTAACCACACCGGGGCTCTGGCTAAGCCTGGGGCTGCCGGAGGCCTGCCCGCGCCGCGCACCAAGAGGAAGCCATCCATTAAAGCGGCCCGCGCCAAGAAGATCTTCGGCTGGGGGGACTTTTACTTTCGCGTGCATACCCTCAAGTTCTCGCTGCTGGTGACCGGCAAGATCGTGGACCATGTGAACGGCACCTTCAGTGTCTACTTCCGTCACAATTCGTCCAGCTTGGGTAACCTGAGTGTCAGTATCGTGCCGCCCTCCAAGCGTGTGGAGTTCGGGGGCGTCTGGCTGCCTGGGCCTGCCCCCCATCCTCTGCAGTCTACGCTGGCTTTAGAAGGGGTGCTTCCCGGACTGGGGCCCCCTCTCGGGGTGACCGGGCAGGGGCTGGGGGGCAACCTTGGGGGAGCCCTGGCCGGCCCACTGGGAGGCGCGCTGGGAGTGCCGGGGGCCAAGGAGTCGCGCGCCTTTAATTGCCACGTGGAATACGAGAAGACAAACCGCGCTCGCAAGCACCGCCCGTGCCTGTACGACCCTTCCCAGGTGTGCTTCACCGAGCACACGCAGAGCCAGGCCGCCTGGCTCTGCGCCAAGCCCTTCAAAGTCATCTGCATCTTCGTCTCCTTCCTCAGTTTTGACTACAAACTGGTGCAGAAGGTGTGCCCAGACTATAACTTCCAGAGTGAGCACCCCTACTTTGGGTAGCTCCCCCTGTCCTGGGCCCTGAGCTTCCCGCCAGATCGCAGCCTCGCTGGGTGGGACCCTTCCCTGTACCCCACTTCCTGTGACTGCCCCCCCACTCCTCCCGCTGTGGGTGGGGTGGAGGACAGCCTTCCCCGGCCGGGACTGTCAGCCAAGCCAGCGTGGTTCTCCATTTCCTTGTGGCCCCGAGTGGCCCCGAGGCTGGGGTAGTCCCCAACGGTAAATTGGGGGAGGAAGAGCACAGCCCCAGGGTGGGCGGGCTTGGAGGCTTTCTTGGGTCCCCTAGGAATGCCTATTGGTTCCCCCTTAGCCCAGCCTGCAGCTTTTACGACGCCTGGCCTGGCCCTCTTTCTTACCCCAAGCGCTGGTCCTACCCACCCCGCAAGGCTGTAGAAGTCCCCAAGGCCCAGCCCATCTAGCCCCTTCCCTTCCGGCGTGCCCTAGGTCAGTCCCCTTTCCTGCCAGCCTTACTGAAGGAAAAGTCCTGAGCAGGGGGCTCTGCCTGCCCCCCCCCCGCTCTGCTCCCTCCCTCCCTCGCTCGCCCTGTCCCCTGTCGCCCGCCCGCCTGCAGTCCGGCTCCACCTGCCCTCTCTGGCTGCTCGTGATATTTTTTTTTTCTACGCCAAAACAGACGGGAAAGGGAACAAAATAAAGCGAAATCCAATACTCGCCTGTGTGAGACCTTTGTAGGAAAGGGGGGGGGGCAGGTGTGGGTTTTTGTCCGGTGGAGGCTGAGCCAATGCCTCCTTCCTCGGCGGCTGCTGGGGGAAACCGAGGCAAAGGCTGATAGACTCAGCACCGCGTGTCCATTTGAGACCTGATCTAGGAGTGGCCGACCAATGAGTGAAGTCAGCCCAGGTGGGGCTCATCTTCCTAAGGAGAGCCGGTGGCAGTGGAGGCAGATAGAGTGGGGATTAAACCTAAACTGGGACTTCCGGCAGTGTGTTTGGGAGACAGGCCTAGGGGGAAGGAGGGTTAAGACCTTGAAAGGGACGAGAAGTAGGGACAGTGTAGGCCGAGGGCTGAAACCCGGTAAGCTCCACGAGGCTGGAGGGAAGCGGCAGGTTGGGAGCGAGGGGGAACCGTGTTTGCGGCATCTGGAGTCATCGATCTTCCTTTTCCTTCCTAATTTCGTGGGCGCTGAGTTTGCAGACGGATGAGGGAGGGAGAGCTTTGGGATGAGGTGATGGAGGGCCGGGCAGAGTCGCTGCTGGTAGCCGCTAGCAAGCAGCCCCCTTCAGCCAGCTGCCCACCCTCCCCACCTCCGCCGGCTGCTCCCTCCTGCAGCCTTGGCTGCTAATTTTATCCGCCCCCAACCCTGGCCCGGGCGTTAATTGGCTGCAGCTTCATTAGCAGCTCTCAGCTTAGCAGCCCCCCTCCCCTTGGGACCCCCTGACTGGGGCTTGGGTGGGGGTGCAGGCAAGCTGAGGCAGAGTGTCTCTTCCTCTTCAGCCAGACATCACTGGAGTCCCTGGTAAAGGTGCCCACAGAGAAGAGAGCAGTAGCCTTCACAGGATGGCCCACAGCTCAGTCGGATACTGAGTATAGAGGCGGATCTGACCCGGACAGGCCAGAGTGAAAAGAGCGTGGGCAGAAAGTAAACATCTACAGCTGGGGATGTAGCTCTTACCCAGCGTGCACAAGGCCCTGGGTTCAATACACAAGTAAAGGAAGGAAGGGTAAAGAGCCGCCTGGAGTGAGAGGAGAGGCAAATGGGAGTGGTTTCCCTATTGTGGGCCAGCTGCTGGGACTGAAGCTGTGGACAGCCAGCAGCCAGCTCTAGAAGACAGCGCCCTCCCTGAGACCCAGGTGGGAACGCCTCGGGTGGGGTGGCGATGACCGGAACCCCACAATAAAACAGCATGTGTGCATCAGACCCTAGATTCTGTCTGCAGCTCAGAGGAAAGCAAAACAAACGAGCCCACAGTGGCGCCCGCGAGCGTGCGTGTCCTTCCTCGGATGATCCTCTTTCTGTCTGTCACTCACCAACATTCCTCCTCCAAGGCTCTGTCCTCCCACTCTGTACATGTGAGAACAGAATGAGGTGTTGGATGTTGTCACTGTTTACCTCTTCCCATCAGTCAGTGAGCCCTGTCTCTCCAGGGCTAAGCCATGCCTGGGTGGCTCAGTGTCTATAAAATGGCTGTGCAGGTCCGTGAGGCTTACTGGGACCCCCAAGAGCGGTTTGGTCGTGTGTCTTCCATGGCTGTCTTTGAGAGCTTTGGACTAGAGGTTTCATGAAGCTGTCCCCAGCTCAGCTCACATAGACTCTTCCCCTGGAGAGGTCAGTGAGTCATTGTCCGCCACCCCCACACTCAACAATCACTTAGGTCAATTTCAAGAACTTGGTGATTGCTGGGATATCATGCAAATAAGTAATGACAAGAGGAGAAATGGCTTTCTCTGCTGGCAGTTGATGGGTGGATGGCCGTGAAGGAAGTAGGTTTGTGAGGTAGGAGGACAACCCACAGGGGAGCTTGTGCACATGCAAAATTCCACTTCATCCCCACCATAAACTGTTTTATTATGTTGGGGGGCCAGTGTGATAGGCTCACATGTGGCCCACTGGCCTCTGGCTTCATGTGTAGCTAACTGAGGCTAGTCCTGAACTTCTAGTCATCCTGCCTCCACTTTCCCTCAGTGCTGGAATGACAGGCATGGGCCATCACGACTGTTGTCTTATCAGGGTTTTACAAGTGAAGAAACCAAGGACCAGTGATGCTATTTTGCTGTAATCCTAAAGCAGGGATTAGGGTCTTCTACTGTTTAAAATTATACTGGTTTCTACTGTGTCAAAGGTCTTTACCCTCTATGTGTGTCTCTGAATCTCCCAGAGGGACGTTATAGTGCTGGCTACTTGGTAGGCTCAAACCACCAACCAATCAACCAATCAACCAACCAACCAACCAAACAAACAAACCAAAAAGCGCTTGTCTGAACAACTGGTAGGAAAAACGACGACAACAACAACAACCCTGAGCCTGAAGACCCTTTCAGGCAACCCCGAGGTACAGACGAGACGTAAGGATGAAGAAAAACTACAATTCCCAGAAGGCCATTTTCTAGAGACCGAAGATGCGCGTGCGCAGGAAACTCCCTTTTAGCTCCGGCTTCGCGGGGGCATTTTTCTCGCGCATGCGCCTTAAGACCAGCCGGCTTCCGACCCCCCCGCCCGTTACTACTCCGGACCAGAGTTGGTGGCTGGTCCTGCTGTGACCTCTGGTAGCGATGGTGCCCTTCTCTTTGCTTTGGACCACTCGGGTAAGAACGGGTATGGATGCTGGGTGGCCAGGGGGAAGGCCCACCCCGTTTTAGTCCCCTTTCACCAAGTGGGGTCCCCGGCTCCTTCACCGCACGTGCTCCGGGGCCTCGCGGAGCGGATGCTTAAGCAGGAAACCCCTGACCCTCGTGGGCGCACGTGCCGTGCCTGGGCCCCCGCCCCCGGTCCTGGCGATCGGACGTCCCAGGGTCTGTGATCGCCCGGTTCCCACGCGTCAGGCGGGGTCCGCAGACCCCGAGTTAGCACTGTCCTAGCGAGCAAGCGGGGTTCCCGGCTCCGATGCGCTAGTTTAATTTTTCCCGCCGGCCCTGAGCTGTGGAGATGATGCAACCGGGCCTCCGTGCTCTCAGGAGGCAGGGGTCCCGCTGCAGCGTGGGCGGAGGAAGTAGGGAGGCGCTGTGTGTGTATGATAAAATTAAGACTTTGGCTTTCCTCTGAGCAAACACCTCCCCCCTACCCCCGCTCCCGCCAGTACACACCTCTTTCCAAGAACTGCTTAAAAGTCTATTCTCCTACTGTGGTTGCTTTGGAAACTACCCTACAGCCTGTGGCGTTAAGCTCTGTTAACTTGCTGCCTTCTCTCACTGGGGTAGTCTCTTATGGAGGCCCTGCAGGAGTCCCCACTCCCTTTACGCTCATGAACATTTTGCCAGCGTGTATGTATACGCATCACATGCATGGCCAGGTACCCACAGAGTTCAGAAGAGGCACCATCTCCCCCCCCCCCCGCCCCCCACTGGAGTTACAGATGGTTGTGAGCTGCCATGTGGGTGCTGGGAGCTAAACCTCTGTCCTTTGCCTTGTTGTATACAAGCAACAAGTGGCCTTAACCACTGAGCCATCTCTCCAGACTCAGAAAGGCAGGCCCCTCTGGGGAGCCCCAATTTGGGGAACATGGGCTTCTGGAGGGCAAGCTTTGCTCTATGGACGAGATTTGGAGGGGGGTTGAGTAGAGCTGGTCAGAACTGCCCTTTGGATACTGATCTGAACCTTGACTCTAGAACTTGCTTTTCAAGGTGAAGGTGGGGGTGGCGAGGACTGAGCTGGCCTGCTGGACCAGGGTGCCTGCTTAGCCAGAGGGCTGTCTGTACCCGTGGTGGAGGGTAATTGGGAGAGGTCTGGACAATTTTTAATCAACCCTGGCTCTTCTCTCCTAAGCCTCTGCAGAGATGTGGTCAGCTGGTCTGGACGGCTGCTCGGGCTCAGCACAGCAAGGTGGCCCAGACACAGGCTGGAGAAGCAGCTGGAGGCTGGACAGGCCAGGAGACTTTGGCAGATAGTGACCCTGAGATGTGGGAGCTACTGCAGAGAGAAAAGGACAGGCAGTGTCGTGGCCTGGAGCTCATCGCTTCAGAGGTAGGGAATGAGGATGTGGGCCAAGAAGCAAACTACCAGGAAATACAGGAAATAGCATACCATCTTACTGCCGTTTCCCCTGGGCCTTCGCCCTCTCTGTACTGTCCCCTGAAGCGTTAAGCTAGGCCAATCTGGAGTGTGGGGCTGGGGCATTAGGGAGCTAGCTCCTAGAGTCCCTACAGCTTGTCTTCCTTTCTTCCCACTCTTGTCAGAAGACTCAGGAAGCATAGGTTGAGTGGATGGGTGGCCCCAGGAAGGCCACCCGTCATGGCAGCACCTGAGTCTTTGAGAATGCTCTTTCTGGTCCTGCCTCTCGCCTGGCAAGGACCCCAGAGTGTTTTTATGGATCCTGTCTCCACTCCCTCCCTCCAGCCTGTGGGCTCCGGCAGGGCGTGGGGCTGTGGGAGTCCAGGGCAAGGGCTCATCCCCTTCTGACACTGCCCCCCACCACCCCAGAACTTCTGCAGCCGAGCTGCGCTGGAGGCCCTGGGGTCCTGTCTGAACAACAAGTACTCGGAAGGTTACCCTGGCAAGAGGTGAGGGCTAGACCAAAGGGTGGAGGGCAGCATCTCTCCCTAGTGGCGGAACCCTCTTGAACCCCGTTAGTGCTTGTGGAGCAGTGGCCTTCCCAGCCAGTGGCTTTCTCTGTACCCTCATGCACCCTCTCCACGGTAGGTATTATGGAGGAGCAGAAGTTGTGGATGAAATCGAGTTGCTCTGCCAGCGCCGGGCCTTGGAAGCCTTTGACCTGGACCCTGCACAGTGGGGAGTCAACGTACAGCCGTACTCGGGGTCCCCAGCCAACCTGGCTGCGTACACAGCTGTTCTTCAGCCCCATGATCGAATCATGGGGTTGGACCTGCCCGATGGGGGCCAGTGAGTATGAAGAAATGATGGGTCTGGCAGGCAGTAATGATGTGGGGCAAGAATTATTGAGTTAATACCTATCGGATTCTGGTCCTGTGAGCATGGGCCACACTTGTCCCGTTACAACAGAGGAGGCAAGACCCTACCGCCCGGCATGGGGGGACAGGGTGCAGTGTTGTAGGGCTGGAAGGGGCTGCTTAAGTCGGGTCTCTTCGCTTGAAGATTTCTGTTCTTTCTAGCCTCACTCATGGCTACATGTCTGACGTCAAGCGGATCTCCGCCACATCCATCTTCTTTGAATCTATGCCCTATAAGCTCAATGTAAGTGTTCTACGGCCTGGGCCCTTGGCGCTGACGGTTTGCTCTTGGCCAGTGGGAGGACCTAGAGGTCTGGGCAGCCTTCAGCATGAGCCCTACCTGCTGCCGCCTCAAGGCTTTAGCTGCTTGCCTTATTTACCCAGCCCCAAACCGGCCTCATTGACTACGACCAGCTGGCGCTGACTGCTCGGCTTTTCCGACCTCGGCTCATCATAGCCGGTACTAGTGCCTACGCCCGCCTCATTGACTATGCCCGCATGAGAGAGGTTGGTGAGGGGCTGGAGGTCAAGCACACTCCCACCACCATGGGTCGGGGGTGGGGGACTGGGAAGGACAGCTGCCCTGCATGTGCAGGGGTCTTCCTGGGGCTGAGGCATGTCTCTACCTGCCCAGGTGTGCGATGACGTCAAGGCACACCTACTGGCTGACATGGCCCATATCAGTGGCCTCGTGGCTGCCAAGGTGATCCCCTCGCCTTTCAAGTATGCGGACATTGTCACCACCACCACTCACAAGACTCTTCGAGGGGCCAGGTCAGAATTCCCTGGGGTTAAGACCTCGCTAGGGGACTTGGATGGAATGACCCCTTTAGTGGCTTGGATCCAGCTCAGCAAGCGTAGTTTAGGGGACTTGGAGCCTCTGAGTGTCTAAACTGGCCGCCTCCTCTCTCCCATCAATTGTCCTGTATCGGCTTAGATCCCAAACCACTCGTCTTCCACGCAGGTCAGGACTCATCTTTTATCGGAAGGGTGTGCGGACCGTAGACCCCAAGACTGGCCAAGAGACCCCTTACACTTACGAGGACCGAATCAACTTTGCTGTGTTCCCATCCTTACAGGGGGGCCCCCACAACCACGCCATTGCTGCAGTAGCTGTGGCTCTCAAGCAGGTTGGGGAGCCTTCCCTTGTGTTGGGGAGCCTTCCCTTGTGTTGGTGAAGGGAAGTGGGTAACGTGGGAGTCGGCGAGACTTGCTAAGTATAAGCAGTAGACCGGACCCCTACTCAGCCCTGGGGTGACAGGGGCTACTGTCTTCTCTGTAGGCCTGCACCCCCATGTTCCGGGAGTATGCCCTACAGGTGCTGAGAAATGCTCAGGCCATGGCTGACGCCCTGCTGAAGCGAGGCTACTCACTGGTGTCTGGTAAGCCCGTGGGTGGGTGAAGGCCTGTGTGGCCTCAAGCAGAGGCCCCGGGCTCCCCAACTCCCCAGTCACTGTCCCCTCAGGAGGCACGGACACCCACCTCGTGCTGGTGGACCTGCGACCCAAGGGCCTGGATGGAGCCCGAGCGGAGCGAGTGTTGGAGCTTGTGTCCATCACGGCCAACAAGAACACCTGCCCCGGAGACCGCAGTGCCGTCACTCCTGGAGGCCTGAGGCTTGGTGGGCCCCGGGGTCTGCGGAGGGAAGGGTTTCCACACTGGGCAGGCCTCCTGATGCTCATTGGGCTGAGTGTCTGTGCCTTCCAGGTGCCCCGGCACTCACTTCTCGGCAGTTCCGAGAGGATGACTTCCGCAGGGTCGTTGATTTTATCGATGAAGGAGTCAACATTGGCTTGGAGGTGAAGCGCAAGACTGGTGAGTAGCCACGAAGGTCCCCAGCCAGGCCGTGTCCCCTACTGTCTGTCCACCCTCTCTGACCCAGCTCACCGCCCTGCCTAGAGCTCTGGCCGCCTTTTCACACTTGCTTCTGTTTTCAGCCAAGCTCCAGGATTTCAAATCCTTCCTGCTCAAAGATGCAGAAACAAGTCAGCGTTTGGCCGACCTCAGGCAACAGGTGGAACAGTTTGCCAGGGCCTTCCCGATGCCCGGGTTTGATGAACACTGAGGGCCCAGGAACCAAGGCCCACACACTGGAAGTTAACCCTTTTTTTTTCTGCCTACCTGGACCATAAAAAAAGACATCACTGATCTTTCTAGGTTTCGGTGGAGGAAGGGAGGCCTTCTGTTTAGGGCAAGAGCCAGACATAAGCTCCTTTCTGGAATTTGTAGCTGAGATTCTTCTGTTTTGTAATCATTTCTAGAAGCCCCCTCCCCCCTGACACACACCCAGCTTGTTTTCGAGACACGGTCTCACTTAGCTGAGGCTCCTCCATTTTTCAAATAAATGCTGGGTTGTAGGTATGCACCATCACACCTAACTTCACCCTCTGCCATAGCTCAGTGTTACAGGCTCCTGCTCTTTCTTGGGGAGTTGCGTGCTGAGAGGAAGGGGTGGGTAGGCGCCCTCCTTCCTGTTTTTATCTAATAAAATGCTAACCTGCCCAGAGTTCCTATTACTGTGGGGGGGTCCCCTGGGCCAGCATGTATTTCTTCTTCCCTCTTGCCACCACGAGGACCCCCGGGGCTGTAGCCGCCTCTCTCTGTCTCTGATCAGAGCCGACACCAGACGTGATTAGCAGGCGCAGCAAATTCAATTTGTTAAATGAAATTGTATTTTGCCCACGGCTGCTTCTGTTTGGTCCCCAGGGACTGAGGAGCTAGGGAAGGGTGGAGTGGGAAAAGCATGGGAAGCCCAGGTACAAGGTGGTGGTAGGCACAGGCTTGGGCAGTAGAGGGACACCCCTTATGGAGGCTCCCCAATCAGAGGCAGGCTTGGGTGACAGGACGAGCCCAGTCGAGCCTGGGCAACCGTTCCCCCCCAGAACTTGCTCAAAACCTGCACTAACGTGGAGCCTGCCACGTCGCTTGGCACAAGGGCCCCTGCTTGCTGTTGGCACACGTCTGACACGCTCAACACGTAGCCTGTGCCACACCCAGTTAGGCGTGGGGAGGGGGGCAGGAGGAGAGAGGAGCTGGCTTGGGCCTTTTGGGTCAATCGCAGCTTCTGCCTGAAGTCTTGGATCCCTCCCCCACCGTGGGACTCAAGCCGAGGGTCAGAGGCTCTTCCTCTCCTGGGAGCAAGAGAGGAGGGTTGGAGGTGGGGCATTCGCGTGGGAACCCAGCCCCTGTGAGCAAAGGCTGGGCAGGGTTGCTAGACTGAGGCCCTAGGGTCTGGGGCAGGCAGTGAAGAAAGCCTGCCATGCACGGACCTCTCCATTCTGCCTTAGAAGTCTGGCCGATCCTTCTTCAGCTTTTTGTAGTCAGTGGAGACAGCAAGGAACTAGGGAGAGGGAAGGAGAATTAGAGTCTCTTGTCCCCCTTTTACGTGTGGGGTACAGGTCTGGGGCCTAGGAAGGAGGCTGGGGGGGGGAACTGCAGGCCCACCTTGTACTGGTCATTGGGACTCACACGGTTCCAGGGTTCTGGGTTGTTCTTTCTGTCCCAGCTGTAAAGAGGACAGGAAAGTCAGGGACCTGGACAGTAGTATTAAACAAACCCTCACCATCACCACCCCTGGCTTCCTGCCCTGGGGAGGGAGCATCCTTCCTACAGAGTGATGGAGGGGGGGAGGGGGGACACATTAGCAGGTGCCGAATGGCAGAACGAGTCTAGCCCATAGATCTCCCAGGTTTCCTGCCTCCTCTCGGTTAACCGCTCAGAGCAGAGGCCTGGGAACCAGGAGAAACCCTGAAGAGCAGGCAGGATTTAGCGCTGTGCCTCAAACTCCAGGGTCAGGGTGGGTAGGTGTTCTGGCCACTGGCTTCTCAAGGAACAGCTTGTTGGTCCCGGCAGGATACGAACAACTCCCAGTGCCACCAAAGACCCTCAGTAGCCCCACACTGCCAGACCTCCAGCACCTCTGGGCAGGCGTAGATGTACCTAAAAGCTAAACATGGCCATAGAGCTGTGTCGCCATGGCAACCCAGTGGCGAGCGGTCTGGGATTCCAGATGCCCCACGTGGCTAGCCACTGACAAGTGAGCCTCCAGGTGGTCCGGATTGGGGGGTCAGGCACCCCAGCCCTCCCAAATGCTGGGTGGTAGAGTGGAGATGAGGACATAGTCCAAGCACCGAACCCCCGCCTTCTTGGGTCACCCAGGACCATTATTCCTAAGCAGTCCCCTTTGGCTCCGCCCAGGACCCCTGCTTGCCTACTAACCCCCCCCCCCATAGTTACCAGACATCCGGGCTACGAAGTGCGAGTCGCAGCAAGTAGAGTCCAGCGCTACCCATGCCCAAGCAGATGAAGCCAATCATTGGGATGAGCTGCGGGGAGAACCAGGTGCTCTGAGGGCCTGAACTCTGCCCTGCATCTTCACCCAAGGTCCTGGTGCCACCCCACAGTCACATTTTCACCACACTCTGCCTTGGCCTGCGGTGATCCCGCCAAGGTAGATTCCAGGGACAAGGTCTATATTGCAGAGAAGGAATGTGGGGGACCCCCGGGAAGATCTGGGAGCATTAAGGAAACGAGGCAGGAGGCAGAGTTTGGGAGGGTCTTGAGAGGGAAGTTAGAGCCTGGGGACTGAACTCACCCCAGGGTGTCTTTTTATCTGCCGGTAGAAGCGGGCCCCTGCGCTGGTTCCTGCCATCTTTCTCCAGTGTCTGGGCTCCTCCGATGGAGCTGGTCTATTCCTCCCCCTGGGGTCCCGCCCCCCATCGGGGAGGGGTCAGCCTAGCCCAGCCAGCCCCACCCAGCTTGTTTCCTCCCAGCAATCCCAGGTCCAAAGAAGGCTGGAGATAGCTGGGACGTCTTGAAGTTTCTCCTTCCCGACTCTCTCCTACTGATGGGGGAACCCGGCCCACGAGACGCCATTATACTTGGGGCTTTGGCTATCTGAAGGAGGAGCGGCTCTGGCATCCAGAGATTGAAGGGAGGTCCATATGTGGGACTGGCAAGCAGACCCCTAAGGAAATGAGGGTGTGGAGTGTCCACTGGAGGGACCAAGGGACAGTGACAGCATCTTTCGCTACACTCCTGGGACCTCCCGGGGGCTAGCAGGCCTGGAGAACAAAGTTATACCTCAGCATGATGCTGAGGAGGAGGGGGCAACTGAGCATTGGTAATGTTGCCAGCCCCTCTTGTTCTGAGCAGTCTTTGGGGCGGAGGATGTAGGCTACGAATCTCTGCACTGCTCCAGACGTAACCCAATGGCTGGGGCAGTTCAGGGACTTGAGACACTGAAGGTAGAGCTCCGTCCCAGGAGGCCACTACTCATCTCTGGTTTGGGGATTAGAGCTCTGGTTGAAGGAAGCAGACTTCAACAGGAAAGATAACAGCCAACTCAGGTATCTGCTCTGTGGCCAGGGCAGGAAGTCTCCCCCACCCCCATCTTTGGAGGACGGATTTTGGGGACACAGGAGATGAGCCTCAGCTCCTTCTCACTCCCATGCTAATTCCCTCACCCCCCTCCCGCTTAGCTTCCACTGCTTGATCCTTCGAAGCTCGCCCACCTCTCCCCTAAAGAACTTGTCCTATGGTGGGCACCCGCTGGGATGAGCTGTGTACCCGCCGCGGCCTCCCTGCGACCCTTCCTGAGGGGCCCCTCCCGTCCTTACACACCGATACCTCGCCCGCCCCTGGAGCTGACAAGCTCTGCTGTAATTAGGCTGCGGGGTCCGGGCTCTCCGCCTCCCTCCGGCGGATAATGAGAAAAAGTGTCAGAGACATGGCGAGAACAAAGAGACAGAGACTCGCTGGGATGGGGGTGGGGTGGGGTGGGGGTGGGGGACTGATGGGACGTCAGAGCCTGTGGCGGAGCAGGGCCCAGCAGCACCTCTAGGGCTGGGCCAGGGAAGATGTGGCCTGTCACCAGTGCCCCTCCCCCCAGCCCGGACCGCTGGGGGGTTGGAGTGCACGGGTGCTAAGCGCCAGTCTTGAAGCTGTAACTCCAGCAGCTGCCCAGCTGGGCTGCACATCTGGTACTCCGTGAGCCTCGCTTGCCTGCTTGCCTAGTCCTGGTGACCTAGGCTGGGGAGACCCAGAGCCTGGCCTGGAACCTCCACTGCTCGCCCTTCCTTGGGTCACTTCTGTTCTTGCCTTTCTGCTCTCGACGCCTCGTCTGCTCCACCTGGGCCTGTCTCTGAGACCGCCTCCCCTCCTGTGTCCCCATATCTGGATCGTGATCCTTGGGGTTTCAGGTCTGTCCCCATCTCCTCCCCTGCACTGTCTCCCTACAGTAACTCAGGCCGCGCTTGCCCAGCAGGTGAGGGACAGCAGGAGTCGTTAGCCGAGGATTAGGCACAGCCCGTGGTCCCAAGGGGACCAGACTCTTCAACTCTAAACCGCTCCAGGATACTAATCCGTGTGGCTGGCGGCGCAGCAAGTCAAATGCAGCTGGGCTCTCCAGAGCGAGCAGATTGAGGGGGTCCGTGGGTGCGGGCGCCCTCTGGAGGCCGAGACACTCCCACTCGGGGAAGAGGTCTCGGGCTCCCCCTGTCGGGCAGCGCCTGCTGTGCATTCCCAGGGTTTGCTCGTTAAGTCTGCGCCTGCAGTGTGCATACACGGGTCTGTGCCCGGGGCTTGCTCTTTGGTGCAACCAAGGTAGTGGGACCTCTCTGCCTCTGCTCTTGTGGCGTAGTCAGAGGACACAGATGGGACGAGGACTCTTATCTCGCCAGGTGTTGACAGCATCCAGGTTCAGGCTGGATTCTCTCTCCAGGCTGGCCTCACACACCTGGGGCCTCATCTCTGACTTGGCCTTCCCTAAGCCCCAGGCCGACCTTCTTCCTGCTCGTTTCCTTCACGCGGTCTCTAGCTCTATGTCTTTGGGTATGTCTGCCTCTCCTTGTCACTCTGCTCTTGACCTAGTTTTGTCCTTCCGTGTCTGTTTCTCTGTGTCTCCTTCCCGTTACACCTTGCTGTGGTCTCTCTCTCTCTCCTTCTCCCTCTCCATCCATTCTTTAGCTCTTTTCTAGTCTGTGGTTTAAAACCCATCCCTGGGGAGTTGCAGCAACCCAACGGAACAGCTCGCGGACACCTTGGGGACACTGCTCAGGGTCCCCTCCCCATCACTTCCATGTTCCTGTCACCTCGCAGCGGCCTCTGTCTTCCCGCTGCAGCTGAGGTACTGGAGAGGGCGCCCGAGAGGGAAGCCACAATGACCTGCTTATGCTCAGGAGCCCCGGGGGCCCTTGACCCCCGCTGCCACTATTAAGGGCGCTGGGTCCCGAGGCTCTGAGATGATCATGATTGCAGCAGCCAGACAGAAGTGGAGCCAGGAGCCTGGCGGCGAGCAGGCTAGCAAGACAGAGACAAAGACGCCTGCGCCATCTGTTTATGCAAAGCGCTCACCGCTAGGGACCCTGGTGTCCCGGTGCCTTGCCCAGACCCGGGCACGGGGTCATGAACCTACGTCTGCCCAGGGCTCCCTCTCTGCCTATGCATCCCCTCCTCCCTGACAGCCAGAGGGGCCACGGGGAGAGCAGAACAGGGAGGGGGCGGGGTGTTGATGTGATTGGAGAGGACGCGGCTGTTTCTTCAATAATGGATGGAGATGATGCGGACGGCGAGCCGGCCGGGAAAGGAGAGAGGAATAGAAATGGGGAGAGAAAGAAGCCAGCGGGGGCGGGAGACTCAATCAGAGCCTCGTGCACGGGGACGCGCACACGCGGGCGCGGGCGTCACACTGTCATTCGGGTACATGCTGCCGCGCAGCTCACACCCAGGCACACGCCCACGCACTGTCACTGAGACACACACCTGCAAGCAGACGCCAGAGCAGTGTTCGCGCGCGCACAAACACACACACACACACACACACACACACACACACACACAGGGCAGTGGCTCTTGAATTTCACACATAACAATCCAATCCTGGAGGCACAGGCGCCTGCACACCGGGGCACATCCAGATTTAAAGAGCGCACAGACGCGTCAACACGTCAAAGCATTTGAAAGAACGCTCAGCACACCTAGCCACCCTGGGACTTATAGACAGAAACCGCAGAAATGGGGGGAGACAAACCGGGCTGCATAGACACACACAGGAACACACACATCTGGGGCTCGGATATAGGCATACATTGCCCCCCCAGACACGCATACACCATGCACCAGGAGCACAGAGGAAGGGACCCTCCCACAAGCATTCGAGGGGCTGCACCCGGGCAAAGGCAGGGGCTGCCATTTGTGCCCTGCGGGGTTGCCTGTGTGACAGAGGTGGCTGGGACGGGCCTTGTTAGCCCCCATTAGCCCAGCGAGGTGATGAGGAAGTGCCTGGGGTGCCTGGGGCTGTGGACGCACAGGCCTAGCGCCCCCCACTCCCGCCTTGCTTGGCCCACAAGCTCCCTTCTCAGCCCTCAGGTACAGACCTCTGGCTGTCCCTGCCCTAGCCATTCCCGCTGGCCCTGCCAGCCCCAACTTAAAAACAGGTGAGAGGGAGAGCCACGGTTGGTGGGACACAGCCCAGGGGATCCCCAGGGACCCCAGCGGAGGTTAGGAGAGTGTTGGAGACAGGGTCGGTCCTACCTCACCTGCAGGGTGCTTCCCGGCCTCTCTCATTAAATATCAGTGATTAGAACCTGGAGAGGGGTGGGTGCACCTCGTAGCTTGGACCCTACAATACCCTGGCCCTTCCTCTGCTCCATTTTCAATTCAGTCTGCTCCTTGGCCTAGACTTATGACCTTTGCTGTGTGTGGCAGCGCCATCCATCACCCAGGCAGCTGGCTTGTGGGAGTGGGGGGGCAAACAGTGTCCCTGTCATACCTCCTGCCCTCTCCTGGGATTGGCCAGGGCTCAACCCAGCGCCTGAATACTGAGGGGAAGGGTATGATCACCGGGTTCAATCAAGACACTATTCTTCACCCCTGGGGCCCGCGCCCCTCCTCCCAGCCGGGCGCAGCCTGTCTCCCGGCTCCTCCCGCCCCCCTTCTCTCGGGCCCTTTGCTTAATTTCCTATTAACTGCTGATAAATCCAATTAAACCGCCGCTCTAATTAGGGACAGCTGCCGGCTCGGTAAGGCGAGGGAGGAGGGGGCGCCCTGCGAGTATAGGGAGAGAACAGCCGCTCTCCCTGCACCCCTACATCAACACTGCCGCCCAATGAGCCAGTAAATTGGTTTTGCTTCAGCATTTTTGGGGGGCTCTTGACAGTCCCGGGGAGGGGCTCAGTTTTCGAGTCCCTCAGACCGCTTGATGGATACGGACATCCTTGTCTGTCCGAGTGCTCCTCTAAGGCCCTGGCCTTCACACTGCCCGGCTCTCGGAAGTGACAGCCAAGGGCAAAGGGGACGAGAAACTGAGCCCTGTTTCACGACGAGTGAGTTTTGTGTGCTTCCCTACCCCAGGCTCACCCCATCTTTCTGTAGGGAAGGGGAGGGGTGCCCGTCCCGGGGCCCTCCTCTTCCCAGCCCAGCTGAGCCTCTGCCCTCCCCCCTCCTCCAGCAGCAGATGGTGCCCGGGCTCCCGCTGCCAACCTTGCTAGGCGGTGCCAACCTCAGTCCTGGCAGACAACCCATAGACTACAAGAGGAGCTTCTGGATGGCCAGGCCGACCCTCCCCCACCCGCTAGCAAACCCAAGACCCTCCGCCTGCCCGACTCCAGCGACCACCCCAAGCTGCTTCTCCACGGTGGGCTCCTAGGTCCCCAAACTCCTGTCTCCTTCTGCTCCCTTCTGCACACCTTCCCGCTCCTCGCCACCTGCCGCCCTGACCAGGGCCGGCACATTTGCATATTTGCATATGCAAATAATAACATTTGCATATGGCGCGCCGCAGGGGGGGTCTCCGCTAGAACCGCTTAGCTGTCTGCCAGGCGCCCTCTCACTCCGTACCTGTCGGGAGAGGGCTGGAGGGCTGGGGCAGGGGCCGCGCGGGAGGGGCGAGGCCCCCCGGCCTCGCTAGCTCCGTTCCCGGAGGACTGGAGGAAGTGTTGCCATGGAGACGGCACGCACCCCACCCCCTCCCAGGCCTAGGGTCTCAGGCTTGGTGTCTCCGGTTCTCTCCCCTTAGCCACCCCCCGCCCCTCCCCATCCCTCTCTCCAACTGTGATCTTGCATCGCCCCCTGGCGGCCACGCTGGGCTCTGAGCCAGGTTCTGAACCGCACAGACCAGACGGAGGTACCTAGCCCTGCGCGCTATTCCCCCAGCCACATGGCGCTGGGGTGGCGTTCCAGTCCCGTTCTTCCCCCACCCTCCAGCATAAGCCTGGGCGAGCGTGTGCAAGTCTGCCCACTCCCACCAACGTGGTTTTCCACATCCTGAAGGCATGAGGTCGGGCAGCCCGGGAGCATTCTTCCCCCTCCGCAGGCCACAAGGACTAACTTCTCTAACTTTTGTCAAAACTTTAATCATTCGCAGCATTTGAAGTTCGGCCCTAGACGCCCCTTTATGGATACACACCCCCCCTGAAGGTCGGAGGGGTCTGAAGCTGAGGGTCAGCGCCCCGGAAATCCGAAGCCCAAGGCAGGGGAGAGGTGGGAGGGGGTCGGAGCCTCCCCAGACACACCCTCACGCCCCACCCGGGTAGCCTCTCCAACTCTCCTCGTCCAGGAGTCCAGTCGCCCCTTCCCACCCCAGCCCGCACTGGGCCCGCCCAGGACCAGGTGTAGGTGTCTCCATCCGGCAGGTGTCAGCTAGCACACCTAAATCTCCTCCAGGAAGTCGGTGGGGAACAGCCCCACCTTGCGGCCGGTGTAGACCTTGACGTAGCCGCCAGCTTCGTCTCCTTTCTGCACTACGATCTAGGGAGTTAGAGCATTGGGGAAGCAGGGGCTGAGTTAAGGACGGAAGAGCGGGCGGGGGAGGGGCGTTTACACGAAGGGTACACCTCCCACGTGTGTGGACGCGGTTAGGTTAGGGTACCCGAGCCACCTGGTCTTTCTTCAGGGTGATCTGCCCGATCTCTCGGTTCCCGACAAACGATCTGGTTACACGGTGCACACGTTCTCCAGCTCGGACCCGAATGATGAAGTTTGGAGGGAAGAATCCCACCTTCTCTCCGATTTTCCCCTAGAGAAGGGAGTAGATGGCTGACATCTCAGGTTCTAGACCCTCCCCATAGCCCACCTTGGCTCTAGCCGGTTGTCTTACCCGCCACCACTCCTCATTGGAGTCATCGATGACTGTGATCTTCTCCCCGGGCCTGGGACAGGAAGGAGAGCTTTCTGATTTGCATTCAGATGCCAGTTCCTAGCGGTCCAGCAGCCCAGGGCACCCGCCCTTCTCCACCGCACCGAGAGCTCATCTCTTACTCCTCCCGGCCCCCCACACTCCCGCCTCTCTCGAAGGCTTCTCACGGGAAATCCAGATCATCCTTCTCCAAGGCTTTGAACCGATAGAGGGCCACGAAGTAATGAGACTGCTGGAAGCCGGGCTGCTTGTGCTGGGGAGTGGAAGGGGGGATGAGTTCGTTTCCCGTCTCCTTTACCAATTCTTCGGGGACAGGAGTTTATTGGTTTCCGTGTGTGGGTCGGTCTCAGGGTGGAGGGTGATGGGAACAGCTGAGGAAGCTGTAAATGATGTCAAGCCTTGATGAGGAGGAAGACTGGACTTCTACAGGTAGACAAGATGCTTACTTTGTCATCCGGTGTTTTCTTCTCCGCCTTCTTGTCCCTTTCTGCATTGTTTCCTTGCAGGGGAAATATGGACAACCATCATCCCTTCCCCAACGCTTCGCTCCCCACCCTTGACTACACTGACTCCATGCCATCAGTGTGGATGGGGAGGGTGGCATTCACTCACCATCCTGGGACTTGCCTTCCCCTGGCCTGGCTGACTCCGGTTCCTCCTCCATCATGGCTGCTAGAGGCTGGAGGGGTTACCAGGGTTAGAGAGGATCTGTCTCAGGAACCTGTGTCTTTCCTGCCTCCCCAGGCAGGCCAGAGAGTTGTAGACCAATAATAGCATCTAAGCATTGGAAGGATACTTGGAGAAAATATCAGTTCAACCACCTACTTGATGCAGGAATTTCTTCTGAAATATGCTGTCAGGCAAGGCTATCTGCATTATGCCTGAATACAGTAATGGCAGGGAGTTCACTACCTTACAATATAATCCCACGTGATTTTACTTTTCAAATTCCTTTTATTAAGCCTATATCAGCTTCCCCGTTATCTGTAGTTAGTTGTCTTGATTTCCCTTCTTAGGGCTTTGAATGTGAAACAAATACAGTCTCTCTAAATTTCTAAGAACAGTAGATATATCCTTTCTGGCTTCTCTTCCCTGCAAATCAACCCTATGATCGAGATTTCAGGTCCTTCATTGTACTATCTGCTTTTAAAAAAATCCTCCATTGTGTAAGACAGTGTGTGTGTGTGTGGGGGGGTGGATGGACCCAGCACAGTTTTCTTCTCCTTTTTTTTTTTTTTTTTTTTTTTTTTTTTTTGGTTATTCTGAGGTAGAGTCTTATGCAGCCCAGCTGTCCTCAAACGCCTTATGTGGCCAGAATAACCTTGAATTCCTGGTCTTCTGACCTCCAGCTTAGGCATGCTAGAATTTCGGGTGTGCATCACTTTACCTGTCTGGCAACATAGTTTCCACCGTTCCCTCTTAAGAACTTTTAAGGATGTTTTTCCTGAACCAGCCTTGTCATTCATAGTTCAATTGACTGAAATCTGTCATCTGTAACCAAGCTTTATATCAACTACGTGGAGATTAGATCTGAAGTTTTGTTACCAGGAACTTTTTGTTGTTTTGCTTTTACCACAAGAAAAGTACAGTTTCCTTTATGAACTTTCAAATAATTATTATTTTCAAGACAGATTTCTCTGGGTAATAGCCTTGGCTGCCACAGAACTCCCTTTGTAGACCAGGTTGGCTTCAAACTCACAGAGATCCACCTGCCTCTGCTGGGATTAAAGGTGCCACCATTACCATCCAGCTGGACTTTCAAGTTATTAAAGCCAGGCAAGGCTGTGCATGCCTCCAGTTCCAGCAGAGGCAGAACTGTGAATTCAAGGGCAGACTGGGCTATAAAGCAACTTAAGAGGAAGCCACGGCTACACAGAGCAGAATGGAACAGAATACACGTTAGAGGTGTAGTTTAGCTGGCGGACTGCTTGCCTAGCATGCATGAAGCCCTGGTTTTGATCCCTCCTGTCACATAGAGCTGGTTGATGGCATGCATCTGTAACCCCTGGGAGGCAAGTGGAGGCAGGAGGGTATACAACACCTTTAGCTAAAGGAGAATGATGCTGGCTTAGGGTGGGGCTTGCTGGAGAGTGGCAATGGTAAAGAATGCTTGCTGTTTTCTCTCTCTAGGGTTTTATTTACTGCTATTTTATGTGTTGTTATTTATTGTATGAGAGCTCTGACTGCATGTATGTCTGTACTCTGTGTGCATGCCTGGTACCCACAGAGACCCCAGGACTGGAATTGCTTTAACTAGCACCATCTATATTAGCTCATAAGGTGGTTCAGGGAGAAACTAATTACCACTACCAAGTTTGTAGCTCTACTGTAAAAGACAAGGAGACTGCCCTTCACCAGTAACAGCTTTGTGTCTGTTCATCTACAAGATGAACAGGTCACGTCAGATGACCTTCATGGATACCTGCTGGCTCTAGAATTATTTAGTCACTTGCAATGACAAATCCTCTTCCCCAGATGCAAAACACACAGATCTTGCCTGTTACCCCAAGTGCCCAGGTCAGGGACTTGGCCTTCTGTGGTACTTAATCATCAATTTTAGAACGACTTGCAGAAGCATGCACTATGGCTGGAGTGAGTTTGTTTTTTGATGTTGGGCATTAAACCAGGATGCCTCACACAAACATACTAGGCAAACACAGAACTATATTCTCAGCCCTGTGGCAGGAATTCTTTCTTCTTTTTCTTAAAAAACAAAAAAACAAAAAAACAAAAAACAAAAACAAAAAAAACAAAAACAAAAAAAACTTCCCACAGGAATATTTCTGCTTGGTAATGCTGCACCATTTGGGGGCAGCGGGCGCAAAGCTCCTATCATTTTTCCCGAGGGGGAAATGACCTGTCCCATGGAGCTCACATTTTTCTTATCTGCCTGTCCTTTCTTCCGCTCCTTGTTTGCCATGATCACCCCGACGCGCAGGGTCTCAAACACAGGGTCATTTCTATTGGCAGCAGCTGGTGGGGTGGGAGAAGGAAGACCATATTACTAGGAAGGCAGGGGAGGCCTCGAAGGGACATCTGAGAGTCAGTGGGCACTCACTCACAGGCACTTGTTGGGGATCGGAGATGGAGAGGACAGGACAGGGCCAGCTCTGTAAACCCTCGGTTACCAATCTATAAAGGGCTCTAAAACACCATGGGAAATGCCTTGTGCACCGTGCTGCTGGCTTTTGTTGTGCTCAGTAGCCCACGTGCAAGCTGGGGGGCTGCCACCAGCAGTCTTCCGACCCCATGCTACTCTGTGCCAAATGCATTTGAGTAACTTCCAGCGAATGCACATGTTTTTTTTTTTTTTTTCCCCCTGACAGTCTCCCTATGTAGCTCAGGCTACATACGGGAATCAGGGAGATCCGCCTGCCTCTGCCTCATGAGTGCTGGGGTTAAAGGTGTGCATCTTCACTGCAGCCTCAACGAATCTACTTTTAAGGGCTCCCAGATTACGCTCTTGTCCGGGGGCATACCCATTGCTCACAGGCTAACCCTGAGAGTGGTGTCCCGCTGTAGCAGGGTGAAAACAGGCCAGAATCCTTGCTCTCGCTTAGCATCTCTCCCAGCTATAAACCAAGGACGAGTCCATGCATCCAAGTACAGCTGTGAAAACACTAGACTGAGGGAGAGCTTCGGAACCAGAACGACTCCATTTTAGAATTCACTTTCCAGAGAGGTGGTGTGAAACCATCTCCGAGACTTGCCCGCTCCCCCAGGTCCTATGTGGGCACTCACAGAGGTCTTTGACACAGGCATACTGTTGGTTGCTGTAGAGCGGGGAGCTATACGCTCGATGGAAACCAGGCGGCTGTAGGATGGGACGGGGAGAGCCATTAGAAGAAGCAAGGGAGGGCCCAGCATCCCTCCCCCGAGAGCTCAGCCCTTCTCAGAGGAAGGGATGAGCTCAGAGAGAGGAAGACATGGCTTCAGGGGACAGGCAGCAGTTGATGGCCTGGGCCTCCTCTTCTACGCTCTTGCTCCCCAGAGCCCAGTTACTCACGATCTTGCCGAAGCATCTCTGCATCTCCACGTAGGACTGGCAATGTTCATGGATGTTGGTTTTGCAGTTCTTACAGCGGAGCCCAAACTTGTTATTGACTTGGGGGGGGGGGAAACATCTGAGTGAGGAAGGGTCTGGGTCCCTTTTCTCTTGGTTCTTCAGCTCTGACCGGCCTACCCCCTTCTGGTACCCTACGCTGTCAATGTCGGTATTTTCCTAGGGTGATTCTCACCACAGTGTCCATTATACACACCCACGAGGCTTTGCTAAGTCCTCTCCCACCCCATGAGCCTCCCATCTGACTGTTTCTGCTCCCCTTCAAGACTCACGCACAATCATCCGGGCACAGACATCACAGAACTTGGGTTTCTTGAAGAAGTGGTCTTTGAATTTGTGGGGCTTGTCGTTGACAGGCTGCGGGGGTTCTGGGGGTGGCTCCTCCTCCTCCTCCTCCTCCTCCTCTTCCTCATAGATATAGTAGATGGGCCCACCCCCAGCCCCCACTGCCTCCCCATTGGCCTCGGGCTCTGGGGGAAGCTCCATTTCTGTTGTCTCTGGAGAGCCCTTCTTGAATATCTGCTTCAGTCTTCCGAGCTGAGGGTGGGGTGGGGTGGGGAGGGGTGAAGGAAACTCAGTGTTAAAGGACGGCCACTTTCTTGCTTTTTCTAACATGGGAAAGCAATGCCCTTGATTAGTGGATTGGGGCTGCCAGTGCTGGCTAACCCAACAACAAAGGAGCCATACACAAAGGGGATCTATTGGAGCACTTTTCACCACGAAGTGAAGGCTTCCCAGCCCCTCTGACACCTCTGCCCAGCGACCACAAATGCACTCACCCCACCTTTCGGAGTCTCTGTTGGGAAGGGGGGCTTAGGGGACTCCAATGCCTTCTTTTCTGTCATCCTGCAAGAGGTTGGAGCCCACAATGAGATCTAATCCCCAACTGCCTGTTCTTCTGCTCCTGTATCCCTGCTGCACCTCCAAGGGGAGCTCTGGGGGAACCCAGTATGCTGCTCAAGGAAGGGTTCTCCTAAATCAGTGGTTCTCAGCCTCCCTGCAGCTGCGACCCTTTAGCAAAGTTCCTCAGGTTGTGATGACCCCCTCCCCAACCGTAAAATTATTTCGTTGCTGCTCCATAACTGTGATTTTGCTCCTGTTATGAATTGTAATGTGAATGTCTGATATGCAGGGGATCTGACATGTGACCACTCACACACTGAGAGCCACCGTCTTACATGTATTTGTGACTGATGCAATATACACCTTCTCACGGCTTCAGGCTTAACCCGTGTCCTTGTCTACATGTATGAAGGTGTGTCCTGAGAGTTGCCCTCCCCTGAGCCTTGGGGGCCCTGTGCCTAGCTCTGTCCTGGCCTGCCTCAGGTCTCTGCTATTTTGGTTTTCAGAGTAACATGAGCCTTTCCTTCCCTTCCTGTCCCATTCCCTGGACCCCACGGCAGCCTATCCATCCCACCTCCAATCCTGACTCAAGTGCAACAGTTTCACTTGGAAAATTCAAACTACTCACAGATAAGGACAGAAACAAGAAGCTGAACACACAGGATGTGAAAGATGAAGAGATGACTTACTTTGGAGACTCCCTAAGTCAGTTCAGTGTGGAGAGAGGTAGCCCCTAAGACCTCGATGGTATTGCTGGGGGAGGGCTCGTCCTCTTCCTCCAAGGCTAAGCCCCCAGTACCTTCTGGGCTCACGCCAGCTATTCAGACAGTGTTGGTAGGCCTCCTAGCCCCTCACCATGGTGGCGGAGCTGAAATGACAGGGCTGGAGGACAGTGGACAGCTGGAGCACAGCTGACAGGCAGAAATTGGAACCAGGAGGTCTGAGGCAGGGCTGGGCCCTGACTCCTCCCCCCCGCCCCCCCCCCTGCTCTTCAGAGTGTATACGCTCTGAAGTGTATTAGCTCATCAGGGGCATTTTCTACCCAATACTGTAGCACCTTACCCCACTCCAAGGACTGAAGCCAGGGTTTGCCATGCTGACCATGTGTTTGACCACCAAGCTAGAACCCCAGCAGGAAAGGGGCTTCTGTCCCCCTACTCACTCACGAGATTTACATTTATGCTCTATACCTTTCCCCTTAACTTTCAAAGAACCTTTTCAATTCTACCCTCCCTGGGCTCACTTCACTCACTTTCTTGGGTTTTGTTTCCTTTGTTTTTTGAGACAGTGTTTTTCTGTGTAGCCCTGGCTGTCCCAGAACTTGCTCTTGTAGACCAGGCTGGCCTGGAACTCACAGAGATCGGCTTGCCTCTGCCTCCTGAGTGCTGGGATTGAAGGTGTGTGCCACCATGTCTGGCTAACCCCAAAACTTTGGGCCAGGAAAGGGCGGGGAGCTGAGTGGGTGTGTGCCCCTACCTGACTCACTCCCAAGTGCACAGAGCATCTTTCTCCTTGCTCCTGTAGAATTCCATCCTCAAGAAGAGAAAGATGGTGGCCAAACCCAAAAGCTATGGGGCTGGAGAGACGGCTTCTTACCCAGAAGACTCAGGTCGGTTCCCAGCACCCACACACTGGCTGCATCTCTAGTTCCAGAGGCTCTACACCCTTTTTGACCTCTGCAGGCATCAGGCACACACACAGTGCACATACATACATGTAGGTAAACCACTTGTATACAGAAAATAAAAATAAATCTTAGCTGGGCAGTGCTGGCGCACACCTTTAATCCCAGCACTCGGGGCGCAGGCGGATCTGAGTTGGAGCCCAGCTTGGTCTGCATCCTGAGTTCCAGGACAACACAGAGGAAACCCTGCCTCAAAAAAACGGGGGTGGGGGTGGGAGGCCGCTGGCACCAGAGGTCTAAGGTGCAGATGAAAGTTTAGTCAACCCTGGGAAGGTTAGAGCTGCCTGTGGTCTTTTTTCTTTCTGAATGTATGTGTGAGTGCAGGTGTGTGCAGTCTGAGAATAACTCCTACAGTCAGTCCTTTCCTTCGACCTTGTGGGCTCCAGACACTTGCACACAAGCCCCTCTACTACCATTAACCAACCTTTCTGGCCCACAGCTACCTTCTATAGTGAGATTTATTTTTAAAAACACATTTAAATACATTAACTATATGCTGCATATTTTTTGGTGCATGTCCCCTCATGTGATTAGTGACCAAAGGACAACTTACCAGTCAGCTTTTCCCTTGTTGTGGGATCAAACTCCAGTTGCCAGGCTCGGCAGTCAGCATTTACCCACTGAGCCACTCTGAGGGCCATGGAGTGAGTTTCTATCATCTGTAAATAATGTTTCCTTACCTCATGAGACCTGTGTCCTTTAGAAGACAGACAACCGGTACGGCTTTACCCTTGTTTATCTATTCATTTGAGTGTTGAGACAGGGTTTCTCTGTGTAGCTCTGGCTGTCCTGAACTCGCTCTGTAGACCAGGCTGGCCCTGAACTCACAGAGATCTGACTGCCTCTGCCTCCCAAGTGCTGGAGCTAAAGGCGTGCACCACCACAGCCGCCACCACCTGGTAGCTTTTCATCCTTTTAATTACAATTCTACTTCTCAATCCTGACAGCTCAGCACAGGCCTATGGGATGGCTGCGTTCTCAGGGGTACAGCTTTCTCTATCTGTGGGTGATCACACGGAGGAGAGCAAAGGCAAGGTTGTAGCTGAGTGATTTTGTTTGTTTGTAAGAAAGTCTCAGCGGGTAACCCTGGTTGTTCTGGAACTTGCTATGTGCGTGCCAGTCTTGGACTCAAGAGTTTTGCTTGACTGCTTCCTCAGTACTGTTATTAAAGGAAGGTATGAGCCATCACGCTCACATCCACAGACCTGCTTCGAAACAACAACAGACACACACACAGGGAAAGGGAAAAGGGAGTGCTGAGGGCTCTTTACTGCCCCTGCTCTGTCAGGCCACAGCACTGAGAGGGCACGAAGAGCCGCCAGGCAACTCCACCTTGCAAGCTGGACAAGGACAGGTAAGCGTGCTATGTGACACAGCCGGCACTGCAGTTGGTTTTGTCGAAGCAACATTCACACGTGTCTGCACCAAGAAGCCGACTCTCTGCTTTTAGGGTTGAAGGTGCAATGTCCACACCCTGAAGGGTGTTTCAGAGGACTAGATGGACAGAAAGGAGGGCAGCATCTCGACTCAGTTCTGGACGTGACTCACCCAGCTCAATAGCAAGGCTACAGTGAGTGGCAGAATTAATGGGCAAGAAGGAAATCTCTGATAGGGACACAAAAGCCCACAGCTGAGGAGCAGTTTGCAGTTTGAGAAGCACAGACCCAGCAACTATGAGAATTGTATATAGGAAAGGGGAGGGGCCAGAAAGAAAAGGTTAGGAAAAGCTATGTGCACAAGCGAAGGAAATCTCCCTAACCTATAGAAACCTTCCAGCAACTGTGGAACTGGACCCATTCAGAGCCTGTAATCCCACTCACACCCACACCAATCGTCAACAGAGACAGTGATTGATGCCCAGTGACAGGTTTTTGCTTTTTTTATATTTATAAACAAAACCAACCTCCCCCCAGTAACTTCCCAAACAAACAAAAAACCAGATTAAATAAAATGTACAGTGAATACACCCAGCAAACATCTGTATGTGCAATTGAATACTGTGTCTGTTACTGTGGCACAAACCCCAAACAAACAATATACAGTGTTCTGGGGATGGGGGTCCCAAGTTTTAACTCTGTGGGGTTTGGGGAGACAAGATGGGGGAAGTGAGAGAATGGGGAAATCAATTTACTTTTCTTAATTCTGTCCATATAAATATATTCATGAAGACCAGAGAGGGAGGCTGGAAGGTGCGGAAATGGGGGAAGGGGGAGTGTGGGACCCTTTCAATTCTACTTGACCAAAAAATATGAAAGAAATTAATTCCATGGTGGGAGGAGATTTAAAAAAATGGCAGAAGAGGATGGGAAGGAGGAAACTGAAGGGGGCTGCAGGGGAAAGGGACCATGGCAAGGGAGTGGAAAGAGTCCCGTGCCAGTGTGAGACTCTGCTTCTCTCTTCAGCCTTGAGGTGGTCGACTCCGGCCCAGTTCTGCCTCGGCCCCCACTCCTACTGTACCAGCCTCCCTCCCCCATTCATTGGGAGCTGGCTCGCTCCAGGATCCTCAGGTCGTAGTTCTTTTTGGCCACTCGAAGTTTGAAGCGACTCACAGAGTTGTTGAGGCGAAGGGAGGCGTTCTGGGCGGCCAGCGGGCTGGGGAACACAGCCACTATAGTGTATAAGGCAGCAAGGTCCGAGTGCCGGCCATTCTCAGCAGGGCCACGGTAGTCCCCTCCACCTGCACCAGGCGACCCCTGAGCATCCTTAAGCCACTGGATCTTGGCACCAGACATGGCAAGCTGGGTGAAGAGTTTGTCTGCCTCTGTACGGGTGATCCCTTCAGGGAGGTCTGTCACCTCCAGAACCCTCCCCAGCACTGAAAGGGGAGGGGAGGTGAAGACTGGTGAGACACGGGGCAAGGACCGAACGGTGGCCCGGTAGAGCCTGACAATAAAGCCCCACCTTCCCCATTTAACTCCCCAAATCAACCCAACTTATCCCCATGGAGACGGGGTGGGGTGGGGTGGGGCAGTCAGAAAGACACGGAACCCTCCTCTCTCTAGCCCAGAGACATAAATAAGAGGGACTGAGGGTTAGAACTTTGGGTGTCTGATCTGGGCAGTGATAACTGCCCTCCTTCACAGGGCGTCAACAGCTGTTGGGTGTGTAGTTCAAAGACTACATGCCCGGCATGGAAGGCCTGTGGGAGAAAGCTCCTCTCTCATGCTCTCCAACCCCCAAATCAGGTCTAGGATGACCAAAGGGAGAAGCCCTACATTAGGGGACTGCTTCCCGAGGGCACGGCCACTCCCATCACTGTGCTATAACAAAGGTCTATGGTGGTCTGTCTACCTCAGGCATGCTTCACTACCTTCTGCTTGTTTGTGAGCAAAGACATGCATTTACCCACTCCACGCTAGCTTCCCCACTCCACTGGGAAGGCAATGAAGGGCGTTTCCTCCCGGGTCAGGAGCCCAGCTACTCACCGACATCTGCTGTCCCCAGGTCAGTGGAGGCGGATTTGAGTGCCTGTCTCTTGCCTCTGTTTCCGTGCTTCAATCCACTCTGTCCCTTTAACATCCCAAGTGAGGAGCATTTACTGCCTCGTGTCCCAGTGTCTGCCCTAGAAGCCGAGGGGCAGCACCCCACCCCGAGGGCCCTGTCTCACCATGGAGTTAGGTTGCCCCAGGAGTGGTAACTAATACGTAAAACCTCTTCCTCTCCCACGGAGGTGGGAGTCATGAGCACAGCAGGGAGTAAAACTCTATGCTGCGCCCATTCTGTGTTTTCTCCTGAGTCCACCAGCTGCTTGAAGCAGATGGCTCACAGACGGGACCATATGAGAAGGGGAGTCTGTGGCCCCAAGGCCGATGGTGGCACACACTTACCTGGTGCACCGTGTAAGTTGACTGGCCATGCAGTAAGGGAGGGCAGATGGACAGGTTATACTGTAATGGCTGACCCAACAGGGAATATCGCCCATCACCTAGGGAAGAACAGGTGTTTTAGGAGCTTGAGTCTCACAGTGTGTCCATTATGAGATTTCAAGAGGCTATGGAGATAAATAGCAACAATACACATACTGCTCCTACCTTTTCTATGATGGGAGTGTCTATGTAACTAATTTAAGAGTTATACTATTGCCAGACGGTGGAGGTGCACACCTTTAATCCCAGCACTTGGGAGGCAGACAGAGGTGGCTCTCTGTGAGTTCAAGGTCAGTTATAGGACAGCCAGAGGTGTTGCCCAGAGAAACTCTATCTTGAAAAGTTGTACTCCTATGTGGTAGCACACATCTTTAATCTCAGCATTTGGCAGAGGTAGGCAGACCTCTGTAGGTTCATGGTCAGCCTGGTCTATATTGGGAGTTCCAGGACAGCCATAGCTACATAGTAAGATCCTGTCTCAGAACAACAAAATAAGACAAAACAAAGACCTGTATCTCTTCCTAAACTCTCAGCAGTACTTTCAGATCCCTTTGAGTTCTGGCCATCACAGACGCTCTGTAAATGGCCAGGGAAGAGTTAGGTGTAATGGTAAATGCCTATTATCCTAGCACCTGGGAGACAGGGGCCAGGCTGGCATAATGGGAGTTACTAAGACCCATGAGAGAGGCAGTGCAGAGTGGTGGACAAGAGCACACACACTTAGAGCCCGATGCCAGGCAAAAACATTGGCTCTGTAGCTAGAAATGCGAAGCTGGGGAATTCCTCTCTTAGGTGCTGTTGGATGGATCACCAAACATGGCATGTAAAGCACTTGTAGACATATTAAGTATTGTGTTGCTTACTACTCACAAAATAATTTATTTTGGAGCATTTAAAAATTTTTAAACATCTATCTCATTTACTTGTAATAGACAAAGCAAAAGCAGTAAGACTATTTCCATCTTACACATGCTTACCCCATTTTATGGATGATAAAATTAAGGTCTATGTCTAAGTTTAAGTAACTTGTTCAACATCACAAAGCTAGTTTGCCCTGAAACTCAAACCCAAGGGTTTTAGGTGAAACTCAGTGTCCACAGTTAGCACTTACTGTCCCTTCAGGGGCCCAGTTCAAGGCACACGTAAACTCACACAGGCACACGCATTAATAACAGAATTATAAAGACACCCCCCCCCCACTCCAACAGGGTTTCTCGGTACACAGCCCTGGCCGTCCTGGAACTCATTGTGTAGACCAGGCTGGCCTTGAGCTCAGGGAGATCCGCCTGCCTCTGCCTCCTGAGGCATGCCCAGCTAAAAGAATCTTAGCCAAACCCCACAGTGCTCTGACACTTGAATCTCTCTGGTCCAGCTCTTCTGTTGAATGGAAAGTTGAATGAACTTCCCTCCTCTCTTTACCGACCTGGTAGTAAACACCAGGTGTGTGTAGGAGGAGGCTGAGTAAGCCACGTGAGAGCAGCAAGGGCAGGCTTGGTGTCCTCTGCAGTGTCACATGCAGTGCCAGCTCTACCCTCCCTCCCCGCTGCGACCGTCTCATCTCCCACCTTGGAATGGAATGTGAATGCTGAGCTCCACAGCAGCCCTCCTTCATCTAAGTTCCTACCCTGTGCAGGACCCCCCGGCCGGGGGAATGGCGTGAGGACAGGCAGGGGACCGAGTCCAGTGCAGACGTTGCTGAGGCTGGTGACAGGAGAGGGTGCTGGAGACTGGGTAGGAGATGTGACTGGGCTGCTGCCCATTTGTGCGTTGGCCTGTGAAAGACAAGAGCATGTGTCACCGGCCACACACACCCTTTGGTGTGTCCCATGCCATCCAATTCACCACTCTCAAGTAACAAGGAGTCTTGTGAGAACACTCTCTTCTTCCCTAGTTTGTGTACTGTTTACTGTTCTTATTTCCAGCACTCCAGATCAAACCCAGGGCTTTACCTGTGCTAGGTAAGCAAAGAGCCCCTCACCTGCCTGACAGCCTGCATTTCTATTCTTAATACCCACTTTTGATAAACTATTCCCTTGTCTCGTCTGTGTGGGAGGCACAGCTGAAAGAAAGTATTGGAGAAACCAGACTTATTAAACGTGAGCATATTTTCTTCAAAGGAAGGAAGTGCTGACTTTGGTCACCTGGAGGTAAGTCTGGAGTGGAGGCTGTCTGATCACCTGGTGGCCCTTTGTATTCTATGGAGCCAGCTTCCCGGATGCCCCAATATTCATCCATCTTAGTATTGTTTAGGCCCTTATCCTGCACTTTGTATATATGCATGTTTGTGGAGGCTAGAGGTCAACTTTGGGTATTCTTTTTTATTCATGACAGGGTTTCTTTCTGTAGCCTTGGCTGTCCTGGAACTCATAGGAATCCAACTGTCTCTGTGTCTTGAGTGCTGTGTCCTGAATGGGATTAAAGGCCTGCACTATCACTGCCCAGCTTGGGTACTGTCCTTTAGATACCACCTACCCCAGCACAGACCTTATATGTACTAGCAACAAGATCTACCACTGAGCAACGTTCACCCCTGGACCCTCCATTTTAAATACACTCTAAGCATGGTCTTCTGATGTGTTCTGTCTCCTCTCTTAGATAATTAGATCCCTGAGAAGAGGATACACTTCATTATTCTTGTTCAGAGGTACTGTAAAGGGGCTGCATAGTCAATGACACAGACTCCTCCTGAGGGGAATCTGGGCCTTCCTCTCCAAGACAAGGTTGGAGGACTAACCTGGGGGCCGCCATCAGGATTGTACAGGTCTCCAGGCTTCTGACCTCGCTGGTCCACACTGTAGTATTTGCAGTGACTCCATTGGGCCATGGATGGATTCTGGGGGGCCTGGGGTCCATTAGGGACATTCAGTTGCATGAGCACCACACCTGGTCCAGAAGTTGACACTCCTAAGTGGTATGAAGAAAGCCGTTGTTGGGAATTCAAACTATTTGGAAGTACAGTTATCTGTGAACAGAAAAGTCAGCAACAAACCCACCCACTTGTTTCAAGGCCATTGCGACTGTGTCCTGCCAGGGATCTGAGACAGCTGCTGATCTGGCCTTGGACTCTTCCCCAACCAGTGAAGTTTGAGTGCAAGAGAGATGAGACCAGATGCCAATATTCTCCTGCCCTTCATCTGCTGGGGCATTTTGTTATGACTGGCAGGAAAACTATTCCATTCTGTCAAACTTGAGTATTGCTAAATACCCAGGTCAGATGGCTGAAATGTCTGGGGCATGGGCAGGGCTTCAAGTATATGCAGGTTTTTGGGTAAGGACTGCGGCTGAACCGGCAAAGTCTTAACTGATTTGGAGAAGATGGAAACTCACAGCTTCATTATAGGCAACTTACAAAGTACTTTTTCACCAGTGGTGACGTGATGCAACACAACAGAGGGCATGGTTTGGAGGCATGAGGTGCTAAGATATAACCACAGGGCAGGAAAGACCACTACTAAGCAGCTTAGTCGACAAGCACTCACTGAACATGTGCTGTGTCAGTCCTTACACGGACACTAAGCGCACAGGAAAAAATCCTGGTCACTGTCCTTCTAGAAAGGACAATCTATTAGCAACTCAGACATTAAGCAAAGAGTGGAGAGCGGAGTCTGAGGTGCATTCTGAAAGGTACTTAAACTCTACCCTGGAGACGCTGGGAGAGAACCAGTGCTTTGTAGAGCTCACCTCATGCTTGCACTGGATACTGGGGTGATGAAGGGTGTAGGGGAAGGAAAACCGAAATAGGAGTTTCTGAGTGAGAGTAGCCAGAAGGATGATGGCAGGGCTCAGAACCTGCTGAAGGGTCTACTGGGAAGGATCCAGTCTTCCTTGCGTTAAAAAGAAGGTAAAGAGTCAGGGGGAAGCAGTTTGATGGGGGAATAGGTAGGGCTCTGGTTCTACACAGGGGATTATAAAGCGTGATAAGTTTTCTTTTGACTTTCCAGCTGTATTCTTGCCGGGGCTGAGCTGGCATGTAAGGTGGTAGAGAAATGGGGTTACTGGGATTTCCAGCTCAGAAGCTACAACACTGCTCTTTTCACGGTTTGGTACTTCAAGGTTGCCATGGCCACTATGATGGTAAATGCTATGGCTTCCGGGTACCAGCCATGCTGGGAGGGGAGTGCTTGCTCAGATAGTGTTGGTCATAGGAAAGTAAGAGGAACGTTAGGAGGTCTCAGAGAGCAATACAGGAGACAGAGAAGCTACTTGATTCGATTCTCTGGCCCATGTGTGAACCCCAGCCTCTAGGGTTTATTAAATCAGAGAGCACAGATTCTCAGTGCAATAGGCTTGGATCTTCCTATCCCCTGCACAAAGGGGATAGGGTATTCATGAATGTGGAAACCACAGTTGTGTGTTATACATTCATAACAACACTCCCCTTGCTACAGCTGCTCTGGGCACTTCGTTTCTCCATCCTACCAGCCCAACGCACGCCAACACCCTTTATCAACAACAACGCAATTGATCTTATTCAAGCTCCTCATTGCATCTCGAGGGGCCAACACACACACAATCAAATCTACAACTCTTGTAGAAGGCAGCTCATGATCAGAGCCTAATGCCGTGGGCTAGGAGAGGTGGGGCATGTGTCAGAGAACACAGTCAGGACAGAGGCAACCTCCTCAAACCAACGCAGACGTGGCGCTCCTGGGGGCTCAAGGCGAGGAAGGAGGACACAGCACTTGTGTTACTGTGTCTGGTTCCAGCGCAACAAAGCCAATACTGCCAGGAGTCTTAGTTTGCAGCCTCTGATCTGCACTCCCCACACTCTCCTCCCCTCTGGCCTGGAGCACTGCTCCTTCACTCAACCGAGGACACAGAGCACTACCCAAGTGATGAGCTGGATTTTATGCTTCTCTTCCTCGAGCCAAAAGCAGGTGGCAGCTGTTAACTGCTGAATTGTCCCCACTTCTTAATGGACATGGCAAAAAAATATAAAATAAAAAATAAAAAATAAAAGAAATTCCACTGCCCAGTGATAGTGCCTCCTTATCACCGGGCTAGGGAGAGGAGCTGGCTAAGAGTGGTTGGAAGAGAGAAAAGGGGACCGAATAAGGAAATCAATTTCAGCTTGAGAGCTAAGAAAGGAGAGGGGACGTGTGAATGGCTTTTTAAGTGGCATCATTAAACCTGGGCAGAAAGGTCGATTGGGCAGAGCAAACCACATAAATACAAGCAGATGACATTTATGTCTGGCAGAATTGGTTTTCGCTTTTTGTTTAGATTTTTTTTTCTTAGCTCACTGAGAGAGAAGGCTGAAAACTGACCAGGCTTCTCCCTTATCACCAGGCACCAAAATCTATGGAAAGGAAATGAAGCCAAAACTACAGGACAGAATCAGTATCTTGGCTCCCCACCCCACCCCACCCCACCCCACCCCACCCCACCCCACCCCACCCTTTTTTTTTTTTTTTTTTTTTTTTTTGGCAAGGGAGAGGGAAATGCGAAATGGACAAGGACACTCTCAGTTCTGAAAGCCCTGAGAGATGAGCCGGGGAGAGAGAGAGGCTATTTCTGTGCACTGCAGTGACCCTGCTGCCATGTCACTCACTTTTACTTCACGTGTGTGCGCATCTTCCCCAGCAAACCCCCATGTAAAGCTCAGGGGGCCTGAGAGCTGCCCTCTCAGTGGGAGACACAGTCCCCTGGAGTCACAGCCATCTCTAGCATTACAGTGGCAGAGTTAAGGCTCAGGCCTCGAGGTGAACTGGACGTCTACAAAAAGGTATTAATAAACCTCAACAGTTGTTCCAGGAACAGCCAATCCTAATCCCTGCCTTTATTTTTGGAAAAGTGACCATGCTGCTACATGACAGGAGGGCGGGCGGGCTGACTGTCCTCTGAAGGTGACAGGGTGGTTTTTGTGGACTTCTCCTGTCCAGTTAACAGTAACTGGAAAAGAAAGTAGAAGAAACACTTGTTTCTTTTTAAAATTTCCTTAATTCCCACGGGCAGGTATTTACAATTTTAAATATTAGTTGTTGCGTGAATATCATCTCTTAGCACTGGTAGGGCAGAGGGCTCCACCGTCTGGGAAGGGTACAAGTACTGTCAGAAGTTTCGAATCAGCCTAAACAAGAAGAAGATACAGCTGGGGAAACTCCAAAGCAGCAAGGAAAACCGGTGATGCCGAGGGTTTCCTTACTCCCCTGACTTGGGGAGCCCGGACCCCTTCCTTCTCTGAGCCTAGCTCTCTGATGTTGCCGGTGTCCAAAATAAGAGACTAGGTCAAGTGAGTAACACAAAATCATTTTCTATTTCTTTGTTTTGATCAATGTAAAGATACTTTACATTTGAACAGCAGATCACCAGAGGCCAAAGAGGCATGCTGACATACCTACCACACACAGGATGCCAACAACACACGTGCAAGCGCGTCCTCACACACAACACGCACTGGTCCTAACGGTCAGGGAGGCACCCAGCACCATCACAGTACACTGCTTCCACAACTTCCACTGAGAATCCCAAGGCCAAGTGCCCTGGGCAGACAGTAAGAGAGCCCACTCACTCATGTAATGGAAGGGGATGAACGTAAAACCTTAGCTTGTAAGAAACCCATGTTTGGTCTGGATGACACCAGAGGTCATGGCACTTTGAGGGTGACATAGATCATGTCTTATGAGCAACAGTAATTCTGTAATTGCCTCAAAACACCAAACAATGAGAGTATAAAAAAACCTTAGTGTGAGTACTTCATTCTAAGTGGGAAAACCAGCCAAATGGCTCACCCTCACCAGAAGAGGGCGCACAATGTCCCCCAAGCAAAGCAGAATGGGGAGGGCTGGAGGGTGAATTACAATTCAGAAATCCAGTCTAAAAAAAACAGGGAAGAAAGACGAAGAAAAGGGATTCCATCCCTAAAGCCCTGAAGTTTCCTTAGCTGTACTGTGTGGAGTGTCAGAGAGGGAGGCAAACAAGGGCAATCACCCTTGGCGTGCTGCAGGGCAGAAGCGGGACCTTCAGCTGGTCAGCGGAAAGCCACTTAGTCCCTGGGCAGAGAAGGATTGGGTGCACGAAGCCTCCTGGGATCTGTCACTGCAGATGAAGCTTACAGGGCACCAAGTCAAAAGGACCCGCGCTCCAGTTCCAGGGCTATGATGGCCTCTGGTAAGACATTCACCAGAGTCTTAGATTCCCTTACAGGTGTGGTCACAATAAGAACATCACAGTGGCCTGGCAGTGGTGGCCCATGCCTTTAAGCCCAGCTCTGGTTCTACAGAGCGATTTCCAGGACAGTTAGGGCTAAACCTGCCTCGAAAAACCAAACAAAATCACATGTATGTGGATGTACACCAAAATCTGCTAAGCAGATCCATGACATTTTAAAAATCATTTCTCAAAAATTTTTTTTTCACTTTCCCAAGAGAAAGAGAAAGAGCTGTCTAAAGGGTAAATGGGTGCAGAATATGGAGGTAAGGAGTTTACGACAGCAAGTGCACTGGTGTAAACACCCACACACGTACACATGGACTCAGACAGACAAAGAACAAAGGACCCAGAGATATAGCTCAGAACCATCATCTTTCTAGATTAGCCGCTGAGTGTCAGGATCGAGGCATGCACTCTACACTCAAATCAAGACTTAGGTCTCTGTGGTGAGGTCACAGCTCACATCTGAACCCCCAACGCTTTACAGTGTAAGCCCTTCAGTAGTGTATGACCCTGCCAGTGCCCAAGCCCTCCCCAGATCCCTTACCCTCTTACCTGAGTACTGCTGTGGTGGGCTGCAGGGAGAGGGAGACTGAGGCATCTGGTACTGCTCAGAGCCAGGAGGCTGCAGAAACCCCACAGGAGGGCTGGGAGATGAGAAGAAAGGAGGGGTGAAGGGACACAGGGGGAGGCATGGCCCCTGGCAAACAGCTGCTGCATCCTAAGCTTCCCCGGTGGGAAGCAGCAGCAGCTACAAGCCATTCCGAGACCAATTTGCCATGTGATTTCTAAATTCACTGATCAGTTCAAACTTAATTATATATATTTGTACTTGATCATCTTTCAATTAGGAAGCTGCTAATCAGTGCTAAATGTGGGACGCTAGCAGCACAAGCTCTTCTCAGCAGTATGGAACACAAAACACCTGAGTACATACAGAGGCCTTAGAAAAAGGATGGACCAACAAACACATGTATGTGTGTATGCACACACAGGTATTCTCAACAGGATAGGCCACCAAGTATGGAACACCAAGCACACACATATGCACACATACAGAGGTCTTACAAACAAGAGGTACTAAACAAGCCAGGGTCAGACCCACAGTGCTAGAAGAAAGGGGTAAAGCTACTAAGGGCGAATGCCTGAGGATGCACAACACAGTGATAAACACTGGGTATCACCTAACGACAAACAGGAGCAAAAACATGGAGATATACACATAAAACGACAGATAAACACAGACTGGAGATAGACACACAGGAACACATACAATTCTACTTCAGCCACATGTCTATCCAGCTGTGTGGCTTTGGGTAGGTTTGTTAAGAATCCTACTCGAATCTCATCCATTTAATTAATTAATTAACTTATTTATTTATTTAATTTTATTTTATTTTGAGACAGGGTTTCTTGTGTAACAGTCCTGGCTGTCCTGGGACTTTCTCTGTAGACTCACAGAGATCAGCCTGTGATCAACTAGAGATGGGAGGCAAAGGCAGGCGGATCTGTTGAGTTGGAGGACAGCCTGGTCTACAGAGTGAGACCTTGTTTGGAAAAACCAAAAGAACAAATAGACAAAAAGAAACATAGAAAGAAACAACAAAAAAAAAGGTAGCAGGCTAGATTATTTCTAAGATATCCCTTTCTCTGCGATGATCTGTCCTCTCTCTACAGTAAGAAACAACTATGTACGTATACTGTAAAGCTGGTTCTTTTAATGATGCTCAGTCCCTTATCTCATAGCTCTGAGTCCCGCTGACTGAATAACAAGACCTGGGTCATTCTAATCTGTCTGGGAAGCAGGCAGTTTCTGCTGAGCTCTATAAACATCAAACCCTAGCACCCAATTCTGAGGCTGGATTCACCAGTCTCAGGCTGGCTACCATGCTGTGACCCTAATGCTTCTGACTCCCAAGTGCTGGGCAGCACCTGTGCCAGGACACCAATGGGGTCTTAAATCTTGCATCCCTTAGACCAGTGGAGAAAAAAGGACAGTTGGCAGTTGCTGAAGGCCAAGGGGAGATTCGGCCCGGCTCTCTGACAGTCCTCACCTTGTGCCGTTCTGCTGAGCTGGTGGGATCATGCTGTAGTATACGGGCACACCCCCTGCTGGGAGGCCTCCTTGCACAGACTGGCTGGCAGGGACCAACATGGGCTGCTGGAAAGGCGGCTGGACCACATTTTGTGAGTCACTGCCCACTGGGACCTGGGTGAACAAGAGCATGACTAGGGGTCAGCTTACCGAGCTCACCCACAGGCTGCTCATCACCAGCCCAATACAACTCCCTTCCCACTTTTAGGGTCTCTTCCAGTACTCCTCCTCTGCCCAAAGCAAACACTCATACAGACACTGAAACCTCTCCCTTCTTCACACACCACCTCAGACACCAGACACGAGGAGAGAGCACTGATCTCCTCTGGACTGATTCCGGGGTGCACACTCCTTATGTGACTGTATGAAAAGCACAGTTTAAAGACTTCTCAACTGTCTGTGTTTGCTTTGAGAAGAAAACATCCCTCGAAGTTCTAGGGAGAAAAGATGGTCTCAGTATTGGAATCTTAAGTCTGATGACCCCGAGAGGTTGTCCTTTTCGATTCACAAGGACCGGGTGCCCTTCCCGAACACAGGGGACACACACCTGGTAAGAAGGCAGTGGAGTGTACTGAACCACCAGGCCTTGCATCTGGCCTCCCATGCTGCTCCTCTGGTTGCTGAGCAGGCCCTGGTTCTGAGGCTGCTGGACCCCGAGCATGCCTTGGTAAGCCGTCTGCTGCTGGTTAGGCATCATGGGCTGCAGACCTAAGGATGGGTAAGAAGCTGTCAGTGTAAGTGTTCCGGAGGTCACCCCCGCAGATCTAACTGCCTCCCTTCTATTCCCACACCAGCAAATCTACTTACCAGGCTGTTGAGATGGCTGAGGCAGCTGCTGACCACGCTGGGGGCTATAGGCCACCGGGTGAGAGAGAGGTCGATATTGCTGGTTGGAATTAGGATACTGTCCAGGGGGGTAGTAAGAAACCTGGATCTTTGGTCAGAGGAAATAGATGTGAGAGGTCTTTTTAATCCAGTCTTAACATCTGCAAATTACTGTAAGCCTCAGGGCTGATAACCAGAAATTTGTAAATGGAGATATTTTGAGTTCACAATTATAGGGTGACTATACAAGTTTGAAATAAGTCAGGACTTGTGTTGTGCGGGAGGGAACTCTTCTGGTGGAATGGTAACTGTCCACGTGTGCAGTGGGGGTAGCATCCTTTCGGGTCTGTGTCAACAGAGGAAAGGAGGGCTGTCACCCTGAACAAACTGGAGCAGTGACCAAAGGCTAGGGAAGGGGCTGCTGACCTGTTGAGGGGGCTGCATGTAGCCTTGGGGTGGAAGGACGGGCTGAGCAGGTGGCGCATGGCTGGAGGCGGGATAGTTGGAAGTAGGGAGGGGCTGTCCTGCAGAAGCCATGATGAAGCTAGGTTGTTGAGGATGCTGGGAAATAAGTGGGGGCTGGAACAGAGCTGAGGATGGATCAGCTGCTTCCGTAGAACCTTGGCGGCTAAGGCTCATCTGTCCAAATGGGTTGCTGAGGTCATCTGCCTGTTGAGAGAGGAGAGGACTTTAAGGACCGAAGCTGTGTCAAACCTCACACATTTGGCTTCAAAACAGAAAGACAGACAAACTGGGTGTGGTGGCACACACGTGTAATCTCAGCACTTGGGAGTCGGAAGCTCATCAGTCCACAATTAGCTTCAGCTTCATACTAAGTTCTAGGCTAACCTCAGCTATGCAGGCCTTGTCTCAAATGTGTTAACCCTAAAGAGAACACAGAGACAGGAAGTGCACTGTTCTACCGCAGTGGCTCTCAGCCTTCCTAACACCGTGACCCTTAACACAGTTCCTTCAGCCATAAAATTATTGCGTTGCTACTTTATAACTGTAACTTGATACTGTTACAAATCATAAGGTGTTTTCTGATGGTCTTTTGTGAAAGGGTCAATGGACCCCGGGGACAGTCCTGCTTCTGTGCCAGGAGGGGTGTCCGTTTTAAATGGAACAGCTGTGTAAGCCTAAGTTCAGAAGCAGTTATCTCTACAGAATTCGACAAGGGCTTCCCTGATTACAACCATCAAGGTTCTCTCTCAGGAGAGGGGGGCAAAGGGTACAGCTTCTACCTACCTATAGGAATACAGGACAAAGACAAGAACCTTTCTGTTTCCTGTACTCCTCATGCTTCTACCTTGCTATACCCTTGTCTGTATAAAGCCATCCGAAACACCTGCATAGACTGTGGACGCGAAGGCGCCTGCGCCTGCCTGCCACCACAGCCGAGAGCTAACTGCTGGGCTCACACCTGCGGCTTGCCTCTGTGCTCCCTTCTGAGGTTATTCCCACCTTGGCTCTTTGACACTAGCCTAGAGTTCTCCTGCCCTTCAGAAACCACTTCCAATTCTCACCTCTGAGAGGGGGCCGGGGAGGCGGCTGCACTAGAGACTGACTCAACAGTGCTGTAATTACCTTTCTCCCAGCTGTCCTTCCTACGTACAAGGGAGGGTGTGCCATCTCACTTGCAAGTGGCAGGTCAGTTTCTTAGCTCTCTGGTCTGTTTTACTCTCTGAACAGTAACTCACACACAAACACACATGCACACATAGAGTAGTTCTTTTGCAAAAGAAAATACTGGAAACCAAAAGAAAATGTTGCCATCTTGTTTCATTCAATTTCCAGGGAACTGTTGCTACCTTACTGGTCAGGAATAGATGACAAGAGACTAGAGTGAGATTAATTTGAGGTCCGTATTCCAGCACTTTCAGAGTGGAGATAGAGGTAAGAGGAAAAGGATTCTGGTGAAAAAGCAGAGGTGTGACCAACATAAGTAGAAAAGGTAAGGGCTCAGCACCACTGAGTTATCAACTATGAGGCAAGTCAGACTGGCAAAGGGTTTATACTTAGGATGCATGCGACTTTTTATTTTAATTTATTTACTTTTGGTATTTTTGAGACAGGGTATTTCTCTAGCCCAGGCTGGACTAGGATTCACTGTGCAGCTGAGGCCAGCCTTGTACTCAGGGCAACCCTTCTGTCTTATCATCCTAGGTGCTGAGACTGAAGGTCTGTGTGCCACATTCACTTACAGACAGTGTACATGGTGTACACTGTGCATGTGGCACAGTGACACGGGTAAGACAACATTTTAACAACAGGGACCCCAGCAGTCTGCAATGAAAGGAGACCAGAGAACAACCCTGTACAGAGTAAACTGGGAACACAGGAAAGAAAGGGTACATGTAACGGAGCAGGAGGGCCTCGGCTAGTTACATTACTTCACTCAGGACTTCAGCAAGTCTTCATAGAGTCACGGATCTATTGGCACACTGTGATGAGGCCATCAGGTTGGAATTTAGTTCAGCCTGTGCTGGTCCCTCAAGATACAGCTTTCAACATCTCTTCCAAAAGCACAACATACTTGCAAGACCACTAAAGACTGGCCCAGACACCCCACAGACACAGGCCACACAGGGACAAGACGGGGGGGGGTGAGTTTATACCATGTTGTACTGCTGGGACGGAGAGACTGGCAGGAGGACTTGGGGACAGGAGCTTGGAGAGAACGGAACAGGCTGCGGAGAGGGCTGCAGGGCCGGGACTGGCTGTGGGCCAGCACGGAGGCATGAGAGAAGGAAAAGGGTGAGGGAGAGGCGGAGGGGCAGAGATGGGGAGGGAAAAGGGAGGAACAGCAAGGTTAATCATAGAAGACGGTTCATATGACTCACATGACCCCTGAGCAGGCTTCGCCGCCACCAAGCCTGGGGTAGCTTGTGGCTTTCACATCTCTCTCTGTTATCAGAAGAGATCCAGTGTACCCTCTGCCCCATTAACCACTCAAACCGTGCAGCTCTTGGAGTAATCTCAGGACTCTCAGGGCCAAGGTCTGTGACCTGATTTCAAGCAAAACTTTCCTGAATGCCCACTTGAGGGATTCCTGTATACACTGCTGCACTACTTTTGTAGGAAGGGTCACCCAAGGGCATTTTCTTGGAGGAAGTGCTCATCCACAAACACATCTCCCTCTAGAGGGAAGAAAAGGAACAAACACCCAGAAGAGGCTGCATCCCAGCTTCCTCTTGATCCGAGATGTTCATGTTTCTTCCCGCTGTGAGAGCAGTGTGAAAAAAATGCCCTCATGAACAAACAGGGTAAAATATAACCACATTAGCTGTGGGTTTTATCCCTCAATCCCTTCACTAGCCTCAGGCAGGAGAATTTGTTTATTGACAACATGCAATGTTCTACACAACGAATTATATTTTCCTCATTTGGATTTTCTCATCGATTCTTCAGTCATAGCTCACTGGTAGGAGAGGGAGGAGAGAGGGAGCAAGGAGCAAGGTAAGGAAGAAGCGGGAAATAACATTTACAAACTGTGTCACAACAGCCTTACAAAAATACCTAGAGACATGACAGCTTGTAATTCCAACAGTAAAAATAGGGTCAACCTGGGGTTGCAACTCAGTGGAGTGCCTGTCTGGCAGTGCAAGGGTCTTGGTTCAACCCTAGGCAACATCTCCACCTGCAAAAACAAGGCTCCGAGTGATCAAATGTCTTGCCTGTCGTACAGCTAAATGACAGAGCAGGCCTGAAACCCAGTTCTTTTGCTGTTGTTCGTTTTTGTTTGTTTTTCAAGACAGTTTTTCTGTGTAGCTCTGGCTGTACTGGAACTCACAGAGGTCCACTTGCCTCTGCTTCCCAAGTGCTGGGATCATGGGTGCACTACTGTGTCGAAACCCAATTCTTCAGGACATGTGTTCATATCAGCTTATACTAGGAGTGTGGAGAGGGGTAAAGGAAAAGGGAATTAGAAGATTACTCAAACTGAGAATCCCAAACGACCTGGAGAGGAGTGCTACCATAGCCCAGAAAATTAACCCAGCCCTACTGACAAGCCTTGTCTTCTGTAGGTCAATGGTATTTCAAATGCAACTACTGGCCACGCTGCCAAACATCAGCTACAAACGCTGGTGGCTCTCGTAGCATTGTCTATCACCCTGTTGGTTCAGGCCTTAAGAGCAGTGAATTAGTAAAACAACTCCTGTCTATCACACACTTGTGGTAGCACACACTTTAATCCCAGCACTGGGGAGGCAAAGGCAGGCAGACCTGTGAGGGTTGGAGGCCACCCAGTCTACATAGAGAGTTCCAGGACAGCTGGGGTGGAGGGGAGAGAAGGGACGTGGAGAGCACAGTGGTCTTCTGGTTCCCATAACTAGGAAGGGGCACTGCTTTTTTATGTGTGTGGATATTCTGCCTGCCTGCATGCCTGTGTCCCTAATGCCCATGGAGATCACAAGAGGGTACTTGTTTCCCTGGAACCTGAATTACAGATGATTATGAGCCACCATGGAGACTCCACAGGAACTGAACCTGTAAGAGCAGCTGGTGAGCCAGTGTCCGCTGCTACTGGACCATCTCTCGGGCCCTACCCTTGCTTTTGCTTTGGTTATTCTGCTATTATCTTCTTGGATAGTCTCAGACCTCAGAACCAGGACACCTGCTGCCACCTACTGGTGATTCTGGGCTCCTTTGCAATATGCAACCTTAATCAGCTGACAAAGCATGGCCACTGAGCCTTTAGCCTCAGCCTCACTCCCTGGTGCCACATGCTTCATAGACACATGAGATGCGGGTCTGGTGAGAGTGTTGTTGTGCCTGCACAGCCCCTGGGCTGGGGCTCAAGTTTTCTCAAAGGTTTATAACACAGTGGCACGGGCAGTCAAACACCTTTACATTGTCTGAGGACCCAAACAACCGCTCAGACATAGTGCTGACAGCCATTAGGGCAACACACGAAGGAAGGGAGGAAGGAAATAAGGAAGGAGAGGCCCTCAGGTGTGAGGTCTGGCAGCACAGCAGAAAGGCAGAGGACCAGTAAGAGGCAGGCAGTCGGGAGAAGAGAGGGAGAGGAGGAGGGGGTGTTAGATGGTGGTATATACAAGTTTAGTGGCCACCACACATGCTTTCTGGGACACTGCATCTTACCCGGGGTAACATTCTCTTAGGACTATGTGACTACAATTACCCTCAATAGCGTCTGCCTGAGAGGACAGAGGCTTCTGTACACCCAGTCCACTGCACTGACCCACACTCCACACCAAGGACTCAACCACTGAGCTGCAGAATGCAGGAGCAGGGTAGGACTTGAGGGCAAGTTTGGGGTTTAGAGCCCACCACTCGTTAGCTACACCAAAATATTTGTCCCAAATGGTTATTCTCCTCTCTTTGCCCGTTCTCTGTTCTCGCTGTGTTTTTAGGTGTGGATGGCAGGTAGAAGGAAAAGACAGAAGACTAAGAGGGAGAAAAAGGAGCAAGATCGTATTAAAATACACACATTTCAGGAAAAAGAACTAAAAAATGCTGGGATCTTAGCAAATGAAATGGACACACCCAAACCACAATGGGAGGTGGCTGAGGAGAAAGCTAACCCACTCACAGGCAGAGCCGAGGGTCTACAGGCATGTCATACATGTCTTATCGGGAGCCTAAGTTAACATAAAGATGACGTAATGGGGCAGGTGGTAGCTCATCCTGGGATCTTCCCACCTGAATTTCCTGCATGGTTACTCGGTTGGGAACTGACTTTTGTATCTAGAAAGGAGCTATATATCTAAGGCCATGCTGGACTGAGCAGGGCAATGGAGGACCCTGCAGGTAAAATAACGACTTAAAGTGGTAGCAGAGCAGTGCAGACAAAGGGTCTCTGAGGGTAAAACATGAGGCTCTAGTCACGAAGAGCTCTTTATAAGGCAGGAAGTGGCCATTCAAAATATCTTTTAATTATTTTTTATAGGTGAGAAGAATATTAAGATTCCAGCTCAGAGAGGACCTGGCTCTCAGGCTAATGGTTTTCATGGTCTGCACTGGAGCACAGTGCTTCTCAGACCCTGGTTAACACCAACACCAACACCAACACCAACCAGGGCTTCCAATGACGTTGCTTTGGCGGCCCTGGAACTCACTACATAGAATAGGCTGGCAAGCTGGCTTTAAACGAAAACAGAGCTGACTGATTCTACCTGGGTTTAAAGGTGTGAGCCACCACTCCCAGTAAAGAAGATATGGCTCTTTTAATGGCCAGTCAAACAGACAAGTTTTGGGGTCTTTAAGGAATGTCTTACTTTGTAGCTCATGCTAGCCTCAAACTCATTATGTAGCCGGGCTGTCTTCAAGCCTTGATCCTCCTACCTCAGCCTCCCCAGTACTGGAATTACAGCTTGTGCCGTGCCGTGCGTCTGGTCTTTATGTTTTATGGTAATATGTTGTGTGAACTTGAGTGTTACTCCTGTGTTTATGGATCAACATATTTAGTCAGACTACGTGTGAGACGATGGGAGCTGTGATCTTTTCTAGTATAGTGACAAAATCACCTTGTTAATTACACAGGACTGTAAAGGGTACAGTAGAAACATGGCATGGAGTAGAAGATCTAACAATTCTCAGCAAACACAGGGATAAACTGTCCGGTGCCAACCTATGGAACCTCAGCACTGGGGAGGCAGGGGCTGAAGAACCTCCTAAGAAAGAGGCAGAGATGTAAATGCAGGCAGTTCTTAGGCCAAGTGTGGTGACAGCACACACCAGTCACTCCAGCACCTGGCAAGTGGAGGAGGGTGTGGAGCTGAGGTCCCAGCCTTCAACTTTTAAGGCTAATGTAGGCTTCATGACAGCTGTATCAACAGAGCAAAGCTTTGGCCAAACATTTGACCTGAATCCTTTCTCTCAACAACTAACAATAAACGGGTCGGATGGTGATGATGTATGCCTTTAATCCCAGCACTCGGGAGGCAAAGGCAGGTGGATCTCTGTGAGTTCCAGGCCAGCCTGGTCTACAGAGAGAGTTCCAGGACCTGTTTGAAAAAACTAAAAATAAAACAAGCAATAAATGGAAGCAGGGGTAGACTACTTCCCAACAGATCCTTTCTCTGCTCACACAGGGAAAACAAGGTGACCTCACTTCTAGAGCTTCTTTGAACCAGAGCAAAGGCTTGAGTAGTGACTCACCTGTGAAATCATGTGACTATTCAGGGGTGGCGCTTGTTGAGGCGTGGGAGGGAGAGCAGGAAGTTGTTGCTGCTGCTGCTGCTGCTGGGCAGTACAAGAGAGAAGGCCCCGGACAGACTGGGGTGAGGTGGCCTGGTTGCACACTTCTGGGGCACCTAGTGCCATACCTAAGGCAAAGAGAAGAAGCCACCCAAAGCTGTAGGTACAAACCTCCAATGCAACTGTTCCTGAAGTGTCCAGCTCAAGGGTTTCCCTTTTCCTTGTCTTTTATTGTCCCTTCCTTCTGCCCACCTCTGTCCCCATTTACCCAAATATCTATGCAAGCCTACAGATGGAGTGCAGTTTCTCTGCTGACAGGAGTCTACCACTTGGGAGATTTCTGCTCCCTAGAGTCAGGAACTACCTTGAATGTCAATGTTTGGTTTGGGAATTGAACAAGTTGTTCTACATGGAGAGGCAGGCAGATTTCCGAGGCTTGCCTATCTGTACATAGTGAGTTCCAGGACAGTCAGAGCTACACAGAGAGCCCTGTCTCAACACAACTGCCTACAAATGAGAAGCTGTTGAGGCGTTTCTCCTGACGTGCCTAACATCAACCTGTGCATCATAATGGACAGATGGAAATATGAAGCTTCGGGATTCCTGCTCCCTTATGGGATCTTGTGTTCTCTTCAAATTGTATAATACGATCTCTTGTAAAGTTGATGAGAAAGCAACTTGCTTCGTCAAGTAACCATGATCACACAATGTACAACCTTTACCCAACAGTTTTTCCCATTTCTAGGCTCACTAAGGCATTTTCATATTCACACTTAAAAAAAAAAAAGAGGAAAAAGGTTTATTCTGGCTCAATATGCAACATACTTTACTGGATATGCATTAGATATGAGAGATTACATAATGAACTAAGGAAAGGTAAAGGACTTGATGATGGGATATCTATAGTCAGACACGAGCCGGGAGGTGGTGCCCGCCTTTAACCCCAGCACTTGGGAGGCAGAGGCAGGTGGATCTCTGTAAGTTTGAGGTCAGCATGGTCTACAGAGTGAGTTCTAAGACAGCCAGGGCTACACAGAGAAACACCGTCTCAGAAAACAAACAATCAAAAAAAAAAAAAAAAAAAAAAAAAAAAAAAAAAAAAAGATGGGTAAGACAAAAGAATGAATTGGTGGTACTATCACCAAGGCTGAGAGACAGCCAAGATGAGGGATGAGGAAATAACAATCCCTCAGAGGGTCAGGGAAAAGGTGAGAGACGACAAAGCTAATGTCATATTCAAGAAATAGCTGGAGAGCTGGAGAAGGATGGACATTTGAAAATGAAACTACAATGTCAAACTAACAAGTTATACTTATTAAGTAGTCTGAATTTTATCATTACTGTTTTCTTTTTGAAACAGTGTCTCACTGTGTACCTGTGGCTGGCTTGGATTCACTGTGTAAACCAGGTTGGCCTTGAATTCACAAAGATCCCCTGTCTCAGCCTCCCAGGCTGCCATCATGCCCTGCTCTTTGTATAGGTGATGTAGAAACATGAGCCTTATGTGTGTTCAAGGTCTCCAAAGGGGTTACTTTCAAGACCCACTCACCTTGTTGCATGGATTGGCTGATTCATATAGGCTGGTTAGTCAGTGTGCCTGTCTCTGCCTTCCCAGTGCTGGGATTGTAAGTATACACCTTCATGCTTGGCGTTTTTGTTTATGTGATAGGGTTTCTCTGTGTAATGTCCTGGAACTCACTCTGTAGATCAGGTTGGCCTCGAACTCACAGAGATCTGCCTACCTCTGCCTCCCAAGTGCTGGGATTAATGGCATGCGCCACCAAAGCCTGGCTAACATGAACATTTTTAAGAGGGAGCTGAAGTGAGTAGATCTGTATTTTAGATTAGTACATTAGCTCTGAAAATGGCTGGGAGCTAACCCTTCAGTGTAATAAAACGAAGGCCTAGCTAAAGGCAGAGGCAGTGGCATTAGGAAGGGGCTCACAAAGAGGACAGGAGGTCTAACAGGAGCAGGCTTCACCACTACTCCTGTCTGTGGAATGAGGACAAGGCCTTCTGGATGGGATTCAAGAAGGGCTTCCTAGTGACAGGGTGGCGAGGCCAAGTCACAGGAGAGCTAACAACCCTGTGAAGAGCACTTCTTCCTAGTGACTACGTTCTACCTAAAGCAGCTGCAGCAGGTGTTTCTAAGCTCGGCTACGTTGGCTAATGCTAATAACTTACAGTTACACTTTATACTCTCTAGGGGCACAGAACCAAAGTATCTGTCATTTATATCTTACCATGTAACCTGGCCCTGAGCTAATGATCTATCTCAGTTGGGTAACAAAATAAACAAATCTCAAATAGCCTCCCCCACCTCCTAAAAAAGAACAAAGTCTGTAAGAAAATCAAAGAGCCAACTAGATTTAAGACTGGGTAATGGATGCAAGAAATCAGATTTCTCAATTCTGGTAATGCCATAAATTTCTAGGGAACTATACTGAACCAGATGTTTCATCAATGTAGGTTATTAATGATACCATGGAAACCACCAGCATCAAGGGCAAGGTGTGGCAAGGGGGAGGAGCTGGAGTACCTGGCCGAGAGACCCTTCCGGCACTGCCGCCTTTATTGCTGTCACCGCGGGTGAGGATGGAGATCCCACTGAAGCTGCTGGCTTTGGTGACAGGCGGTCGCATACTCCGGACAGACCCATCTGAGTCTGTGCTGCTCCAAGGCCGTGGCTCCAGGGATCTGAGTTCGCTGTCTGTGCTGCTCTGTCGGCTGCTTGAGGTGCGGCTCAACCCTTCACGGTTGCCCCTGCAGAAACCACAGTGGTCAGAACACCCCCCACCCCCCCACTTCAGCAGGAGAGCCAAGAGAGAGTTCATTTTTTATTCTTTTGTAACATAGAAGTGGGGGGGGGCATGGACACTGACTGCTTGTTAGATGGATGGGCAACCAATATCTGATGGGAGCAGACACAACAAGGTCCAGCCTAGTAAGAAAGCACAGAGGCAAATCTGAAAGACAGTGCACTGACAGCTAATTCAACAATGGATTCAAGGCGGATGGGAGCCACACATATGACCCCGAGACTGGTGGTCTCTTTCCTACCCCTGCAGGAATCTCACATGTGAAGAACAGAGGGCAGCAGAGGGGCGGTATTGACTTCTGGGACTCTTGGAAGTTCTACTGTTGGTAGAAGGTAGGAGTGGCCAGGGACATGGTTAAATCCCACAAACACCCCACACACAGCATGCACCTGCACCAGCAGGGTGCTACATGTGAATGTCCTCCCAGGGGCTGGAGGTGACAGACAGCAGTCTGACTGTCCTGTCCCAGTTGTTTCCTGAAGTCCCATGCTGGTATTTGAGGACAACAGACTCCACAGTCCCTAAGAACTGAAGTTGTCAGGAAGATCAAACATATGTTTTGGGCGTGGTAGAAAGTACACGAAGCTACTGAGAAAGGGGTTCATCTGTTCTCACTGCTCTACAATGGCAGGCTTATCCTGGCATAAAAGCATCACCTGCGATTAAAAACAGCAGTATGCCGCAAGATATGTCTATTAAAAGCATCACCTGTGACTAAAAACAGCAGTATGCCACAAGATATGTCTATTTTGGCCTGAAAATTTTTGTCTTGTCTTTTAAAAAATTATTTATTTAAATGTGTATAAATGTTTTGCTTGTCTAAATGTATGTGTACCATGTGTGTGCCTGATGTGCAGAAGGCCTGAAGAGGGCATCAGATCCCGTAGAACTGGAGTCATGTTTGGTCATATGCAGCCCTGTGGGTGTTGTGAATTACATCCAGGACCTCTGCAAGAGCAGCCAGTGCTCTTAACCACTGAGCCATCTCTCTAGCCCCTAAACATTTATTTTGTGTGTGTGTGTTTTGTGTTTGTGTATCTATGTGTGCACAGTGGCCTGAGCAAAGGGCATGTGTCCACAAGTGTATAGATGCCAAGGAGAACAGAACAGAGGATCCCCTGGCAGGCAGGCGTGAACCAAAAGGTGTGGGTGCTCAGAGTCACAACTCCAGTCCTCTGGAAGAACATTCCTCCAGCCCAGTATTGCTCTTGTGTGTTAAAGGGTGTGTGTGTGCATGCACACACGCATACACTTGTGCCTCCCACACATGTATTTAAACACCTGTGTGTGCAGCACATGTGTGTAGAGGCCAGAAGTAGACATCAGGGAGCTTTCTGAAATGTTTTCATTATTACATTTTGTTCATTTATTTTGTGTACCTGTATGTATGTGTGTAGGTCTGAAGACAACTTGCAGATATGTGGGTCCCAGGGGTCAAACTCGGGTTGCCAGGCTTGGTGGCAAGCACCATGACTTGCTGAGTCATCTCACCTGCCTTCCCTTATTTCTTGGGGGGAAGGAGACAGTGGCTTTTACTGAATCAGTTGGGTGGCTGGCCAATGAGCTCCAGGCTTTGCCTTGGCCCCTACTTCCACGACAGAGGCGACCACAGTAGTTTAGGTTCCCTTCTTACCAAAACCAAATAGAAAATGTTGCCCCAGTTTGTTACCTTAGCACCAACGGCCCTTTGGCTCAGTTATTCTGAGAAAACTAGCTAGCTTTCTTTCTTTTTCTTTCATTCATTTCTTTTCTTTCTCTTTCTTCCTTTCCTTCCTTCCTTCTTTCTATCTTCCTTCCTCTTTTCCCTCAGATAGGATCCCATCATCCTGCCCAGGCTGGCTTTTGTCTCACAAGTGCTGGCACTGCAGGTATGTGTCATGAGTGGCTTATGGCCACTTTTTAAGTGTCTATTAACTATGGAGAGCTAAGAACACACTGGCGCAACAGATAGGGATACGTTAATTCATCTTTCCTATCCCAATCCCATGCTTCCCTCTCTATAGAGAGTTAGAATAAGGGATTGTGACACATTCCTGTTTTCTCCAAAACTTGACTTTTTTCTTCAGATGTCAAGAACAAAAAGGGAAGCAAACATAAAGATACCTGAGGCAGACAGCAAATGAGACAACCTTAAACTAAAATACCATAGGCAGTTAGGGCTGGGACTGTGGTACTTATCTACCCAACCAGGTTCCCCAAGGCAGAGACGGTCAAATGCTCAAAATGTGGGCTGAGCTGCCTGTTAATTTAATACAGTATTCCCTTGAGAGAGTATCCAGAGAGAAAACCTATGTCAGTTTCCTTCTCCATACATGATCATCTCACTAAAAACATGGAAATTAGGGAGAGCACTTCAATTCAATTCCGAGGAATGACAGCGCTGTCTGCATGGTAGAGCCATGGGGTAGAGCCATGAATAAAATCAGAGCCAAAGTAGCTCTAACCTCTGTCACTGTTTCAAGATGGGGTCTGTGTGGCCCAAGCTGGCCTCAAGCCTGGTATGTAGCCAAGGATGATCTTGAACTTCTGACCCTCCTGTTTCTACCTCCCTCAGGGCTGGGTGTGTACGGCACTATACTCAGCTCATGTAGTATGAGGGATGGAATTTAGGGCTTCCTACATGCCAGGCAAGAAGCACCAATTGAGCTTCACTCCCAACTTCTCTGACTTAATTTTAAAGTAGATTTAATTTACTTTTGTAGAAAGAAGTCTAGTTTGTTGGGTCTGAGAAAGGGGGGAGGTGTAGAAGAGGCAGCATTTGATAAAAGACAATAAGCCTCACGTGTGACTTATTAATCAAGGGAGTTAGAACTTCCAAAGAACTGGGAAGGTGCCATAGTTATTGCCAGCGTGGATGGTAAAATGTGGTACATCTTATATTGTCAGAACCTGAACTAGGACAGAAATGTAGGCGGCAGTTGCAACAGAAGGCTTTGCCAGTGAGACTTCTGGACTATGCTCCAAAACAGGGTAATCGGTCACCCCATGATCCAGCATTTCAAAGGAGCTCTTTTTTTTTTTTTTTTTTTTTTTTTTTTTTGGAGACAAGGTATTTATGTAGCCCAAGCTGGCCTCAACCTACCTATGTAGGCAAGAATGATCTTGAATGTGCATTCATTCCTCTTGCCTCCACCTCCTGAGTGCTAGGACTAAATGTGTTAAAGGTATACACCACTATTCTCTCCTTCGTGTGGTGCTGGTGACTGTATACTAGGCAAGTTCTCTGTCAGCAGAACCACATCACCAGCACCTAACCTAGGTTTTGTTTTGTTTAGTTTTTTTTTTTTTTTTTTTTTTTTCGAGACAGGGTTATTCTGTGTAGCCCAGGTGGCCTTGAACACATAGAGATTCGCCCATCTCTGCCTCCCCAGTACTGGGAGTAAAGGTGTGCCACCACTGCAGGGGCTAACCTAGGTTTAAAAAAAAAATTATCTGTTCTTAAACCTTTGCATTGTCCTTTTAACTTATTTGCTCATTTGTATGAGACAGGGTCTCACTCTAACCTTGGCTATACTAGACTTGCCTTAATCATGGGGCATCTCTGCAGCCCCTCTGATCTTTTTTATTTCTGGGCAGTGCTACCCTGAGGTCCATCTGAAAACCAGACTGTGCTGGCCTTGAACGCATAAAGATCTTCCTGACTCTATCTACGTCCTCCCGAGTGCTGGGATCAAAAGTGTGTGCTACCACACCCAGGTTTTTATTTTTATTTACAACCAGGTATGTATGTGGGTGTCAGCACAGGGGTATGCACAGGCAGTGCAGGTGCCCTTCCAGGCCAGAAGCAGGTGTCAGACTCCCATAAAGTTAGAAATACAAGCAACTGTGAGCCACTTGATATCAGTGCTGAAAACTGAACTCAGGGTCCTCTCCAGTATCGGTATGCGCTCTTAACTGCCGAGCCATGTCTCCAGCCCCAATTTTATTTAACCGTTAATTTTTTTACATTTACGTATTTGTATTTGTAAACACACAGCAGCTGGCTTTCTGAGGGCTGGACTCAGGCCACGGGGATGGGCAGCAGCTGCATTACCAGCTGAGTCAGTCAAATCATTGGCCTTTACCTTGGACTTTAATCAAAACTCAGTTTGATTTTTGAGCTTGAAGAAAAGATCTGCAGAGGTGAGGTCCGCACCTGCTCACCAGATTCGCAAGCTATTATCTGCACAGTTTGATGCGGCCTGATGCTCACAGGACAGCACTGGGAATGCGAGTTAGGGCGTCAAACAACACGTTTGGGAGGAAGAGGAGATGTTAGGAAAGAGCTGGTGTGGGACAAGAAAAAGAACAATGGACAAAAATCAGCCTCAGTTTTGACAAAGCCAAGTAAAGTAGGGCTGGCTATTTCATCTCTATGCTTTCGTTTCCCTTGATGTAAACCAGTTGGCCAGGTCCAGACAAGCAGGTAGGGTACATTTTGGCAACTACAAAGCACTGTTCATAAATAGGAATAAGTTAAAGCTACTTTATTATAGGTACTGCAAAGTATCGAGCAGAATTTTCATTTTTTTAAATATGAGAACTTTACATATCTTTGATACCATCAACAATTCAAAGCTCACTCTGCCTCTGGTTTTCAGATGGACCTCAGGGTAGCACTGCCCAGAAATAAAAAAGATCAGAGGGGCTGCAGAGATGCCCCATGATTAAGAGCACCAGCTGCTCTCCCAGAGGACGTGGGTTTGATTCCTAGGACTCCTAGCTCACACCTGTTTGTAATTTGTTTCAGGGGACTCTGACGCCTTCTTCTGGCCTCTGTGGGTACTGCATATAAGGGGTGCATAGACACACATGTGTGCAAAATATCCATACACATAAAATAAATCTTAAAAAAAGAATTCAGAAATATGGAAACTCCATTTCAAGGGTGGGGAATTTCATTGTTTTAATCTTTTTCTTCTTCCTCCTCTTCTTTTTAAGATTTATTTTTATTTGTGTGTGTGTGTGTGTGTGTGTGTGTGTGTGTGTGCTGTGTGGGGGAAGTACACACGAATGGAAGTGTGGAGGCCAGAGCTCATCCAGTCCCTTGGAGATGAGTGAAAGTACTTGTGTGCCACTTGCTGCAAGTGCTGGGAAGCAGCCCGGTCTTCTGTAAGAGTGCCACACCCTGGGGACCACTGAGCATTCCAGTCTAGCTAGCTTTGGAATGGGCAGTGAGGGCAGGGCGGCTACAGCTTTAGAAGCAAGACCTATATTCTGAGTTCCTATGATCCCTAGGCTTTAAAAAGTGGAGGGGTCCCTTTAGAAAAAGTTAGCCCTGAATCACAGGCTTAGCTTCCTATCCTTCCTGAGGTCATCCATACCTCATATTGTCTCAAAGTGAGACTACAGAGACAGACTCATATATGTATTTGTATATGTGCATATATAATCTTTCCACGAGATAAAAACATTCCGTTATCCACACCTCTTCACTCCACAGATGAGCAAAGGTGGTCAGCAGACAGTTAGGGTATGTTTGAACCTTTTAAAAATGTCCAATTCCAGCCAATTTGTCTCAGACAAAACTAGTTGTTCCCCAACACCATCTACTCAGGCCTCAATGGATTTGACAAAAATAAACTCACTAAGAAGGAGCCTTTCCCCCCCCCCCAAAGGGAAATAGAAATCCAGCGAAGCGAAATCCACGAATTTAATTATTCCACAAGCAGCCATGCATGGAGAAAACCATTCACTCCACTGAAAAGATTACAGCAAAACAAAACAAAAAGTAAAAAGGAGAGATACAGATCACACACAGGTACCTAAAAATCTGCCTTCTTTTGTGAGAGCTAGAAGAAAAGGCTTCTTTGGAGAGTCTGTTGGTTAACATCAAAAACAAAACAAACAAAACAAAAATGGTATCATTATAGGATTACATTGACCTCACTGATAAAGCTGAATGGTAAGAGAGAACATGTAAATGGTACTAACCTGACGTCACTTAGATATCCATTCTGGCCAGTCTAGGTGAGGGAGAAAATGGAAAATAACTCATAAGAAAATAATAAGGCGTAACAGAAGAGGATGTCCATGACACTATGAATACCCATGGTCTTCAAACCAAAGCTCTCACCCCACCAACAGGGAGAGAGGGGGCAAGGCTAGGATAAACCCTGCCTAACCCCCCGTCTGACTTCTCACTTTAACGTGAAAACGCTTGGCATGTTTAGCCTTTCCATGGCGTTTACAATGAAGGCTGATTCAGGGAGAATGGAGAGGAGGGAGAGGGAAGTCGGAGCCTCACTGTTTCCTTCTTACCTCTACACGTATAAACTGTCAAAACGGACATACTGTATTTACACGTATGAACCGGCTGTCATAACTGACATACACGTTCAAAGGGAGGGGGACATGAAAGGGCAACATCAAGTTTTGGAAATTAATCTCAGTGGCTATTCTCTTTCTGTCCTTTTCATTTGCCCAAACCAAAGGCGCTGTGACCTGAGCCCCATTATGGGTGAGATATTGGGGAACCAGATACTGTTTAGAGCCTGGGGGGGGGATGAGGGTGTTAAAGGTCTGACGTAGTCCCACCAGGATCGTTTTCTGACGAAGCCACTGAGCTGAGTGAAGTGAGCACTGTGGTGCCACCCAAACCTTAGGGACAGCCAAAAGCGCTGTTGAGCATGGTGGGTTCTGCACAGAGCAGAGACTCCATCGGGCAGCTTTCCCAAGACACAGTTCAGGCTCTAGAGAGGCTGTGGCAACAGCATTTCCATCCGAACACCCTTCTTGGCACTTCCCGTTCTGGGCCTGCCTCCCTGTCCCCATTCTACTCTTAATCCCTCCCTCTCACTGGGAGGGCTCCTCTCCACATGGAAGCCTAGGAGGATGGTGGGCTTTGGCCATTTCTCCTCATCTAGATTTTCTGAGACTGCCAAGGCCTCTCCCTACACAAGAGCTAGGAAGTACTGAAAGGAACGTGATAAATCCACAAGGATTTAACAAAGAATACATGTATCAGTAGAGGCATGAGAGACTACAAACCAGGAGGAAAAGGAGAGAAGAGCTAACTTTGCCTTCGTTACATCTGCAGGCAGCTGTGTTCCACTGTGGTTGATAACTAGGCCCAATGTCCTACATAAGCTGTCTGTGCTTTCAGCTCATAGGGGTTGACACAGGGAGGCAGTCGCTTTCCACGTGTCAGTGACGCAGAAAAGGACACAGATAGCTAGGCTGTCTTTGCTGGCACTACAATCTGAAGACCCCTGAGCAGAGCAATCTATCAAGCGGTAGCTTCCATTCTGCAATGAACATGGACTCTGGAGCCAGACATCTAACTAGCAGTATTTAGGAGGTTGCTAGCAAACTACATTGTCTCATTTACAAAGTGAGAAAAATATTTAAAACAACTTCACAGACCAGTTGTGAAGATGACTTCACCTATGTAAAATGCTAAGAACAGTGCCTAACAGCGACTAAGGACACATAAGCACTTGTGTTCGGTTTAGTGGTAACCATGAAAGCTCTCCTCTCTCCCAGCCCTTGCGTTGCGGGTGATGTACTAAACCCTGAGCAGGGGGAGTTTCAAGGACAGACTTTTCTGACTCAGAATGGAAGTCTACATGACAGAAGGTAAGAAGGCTGCTTCTAGAATTCTAGGTCAGAAAGCTTGTTGTGTGTCACTTTCCAGTAAGGATTCATAAAAGCACCGGGCTCTCTCTAGATAATGGAGCAGACACACAGCAGCTCGGTTTTTGGTTGGAGACAGTATTTTTCTGAGTGAGGTGACGATGAAAAGACGCACGTGTTCTTTGTGTGTGTTTGTGTGTTGGGATGAGAGAAGAAGAACGGGGTGGAAGGGGAATGCTGTCCGTCCACATGATTTGACCTCCTTTGTTGCTAATCTGACCTAAGTAAAATGTTTTCTATCTAGACCCACGTGTTCTATCTAGAGAGCTGCTGTTTATCTAAACCCTTTCCTGAAACCCTGCTCTACATCTCCTAGACTAGTAGGCAAAGGTAACCAGATACAGGGGTAACAAGTGCATTTGATATGGCCCACAGTTCTTAAAACTAAAGTTACCTAAACTAATTGGTGCTGCCTTTTGGACCGTGAAGCCATTTCTTTTCTAGGAGCAAGGTAAGAAATACAGGAAGGAGGAGACTCCCCACTCCAGCTATGACTGAGGGATGGGAGCACCCTGAGCATGGAGATGAGGGACCTGCAGAGGATGATGCCAGAGGAGCACTTTAACAAAGCATCCGAATGTCCTAAAAACAAGCTGGCCAAACAAGATCAACGTCGAGCTTCTATGGATACCGAGTCTTCTACTTAGAAGCAAAGATTCGTAGGACAGACAGTGGGCATCTACAGGCGAGCTGGAGGAGGGCTTGGTAGGCAAGACTTAGGGCACTTTCATAGGCTCTGCCAAAACCATTTCTTTCCAGTCTAGTCATATTTACCAAATTCAGCCACTCCAAGTTTCGGTTCTCTTTGTATACCATATTGCAAAATGTATTTCAAAACAAATATTAAAACCAGTAGCTTCCCAATAAGCCACATTTAGGGTTAGAGGTCAAATCTGGGATTGACTGATGTTGGTTAAAAAAAAAAAAAAAACACAAAGAAAGAAAGAAAAAGAGCCAACAACATTTATGGCGGGTTCATTCCATTCACAGTTCCAAGGTTAGAGCTAAGAGCTATGATCTGACAACTCTCAGGAGCTACACTTACCTCTCGGGCAAATATTCTCTCTCGGGCCCTTTGATATTCCTCCTCTCTCTCTTCTATTGACTTGCTCCTCCTTCCATCCTGCAATGGAACTCTGATCTAGATCGATGAGCAGAATTAAGCTAGTTAAGTTCTCCTCGTACTGCAAGCTCACTGCACACCAGCAAGGAAGAGAAACCGGGAAAGTTTATGGTTGCCATCAAAAAAAAAAAAAAAAAAAAAAAAAAAAAAAAAGGAAAATAAAGAAATAAAATTTCCAGTCCTGGACAGGTCTCACTGGGTACATCTGACCATGCAGTTTGGGAGATCAGCTTTTCTGGATGGGAGAGGACCTGCCACTCCCCCCACCCCCAAATATCAGGAACAACAACTATTTATAAGGGTTGGGTTGCTTCTCTGGAGTATTCAGGGACTGTTCAGTCAGTAAAGATCAAGAAAATGCCCTGGGAAAATTAACAGTTCTTTAAAGGGCAAGTAAGGGAGAGAAGGAAGCTGAAGAGGGCAATGAAGTGTTCAGAGAAGCTAAATGCAGAGGGGGTTCGCAGAGCTAGTGTGTCACAGGATCCCTCTTTTGTCCCTAATGCCGTGTCCCAGCAACCAAGTCAAACATGGCTAAGCAAAGGGGCTTGGACATTTAAATCTCAGGTGTGACTAAGCATTTTTCTCACCTTAATTATAGTGACTGAAGGGAGCTGAGGAGCAGAGATTACAGAAATAAAGAATAAAGAGACAGCGACACAGAAGAGAACAAGAACAAAACAGAAACACACAATGAGTGCAGTGGAGAGAAGAGGAAAACAGGAAGGGTAGAGAAGGGAATGGAGGAGAGAAAATTTTATGTTCTCCGACAGACAGTGAGGTGACCAATACGATAGGCTGTCTCACGGGTGGAGGACCACTGCCCGCTAGCCGCCCCCTCGCTTCCCAGCACTGCTTTTCCTCTTCAACTGCTACTGTAAGCACTGTCCTGGGAGGGCGTCGCTACAGTGACTGCAAAAGCAGGAATTCTGAGAGGGGGCTCACTGAGCCAACATCACCATGCTACAGACAACTCCGACCTACAGACGGATCTGAGCTCTACAGAACCACCGCCCCGGGCTACCACAGTTCCCAAACACAATCCAAGATTGAGGAGTCTCGCTCTACTTGGATACGGTCCTCACCATTCTGTAGGACCCGTACCCCACTAAACACCTTTCATCACTTCTATTGCAAGAAGACATGAGATCCTCAATGAGCTGCTCAGCCTCTAGCACTGATAAGCCAACAGCAGAGTAGGAACCATAATGGGGCATCAAGGTGAAACCCAGCTCTGGTGACTCTGGGTAAAGGTAAAGTGACTTCAGGCAAGTATGGTGAGGTCTCTGAGACTCAGTCAGTATAATGTGTAAAGTGGGATTCATAACCCCACTTACACTGGGTTGTGGAAAGGATCAAAGAGATTATGTATGTATGTATGTATGTATGTATGTATGTATGTATGTATGTTTACAGCAAAGCCCAGCTCAGGGAAAAATAGCAACACCATGTTTATTCTAATACCACAGCCAGAAAGCACATAGTAACCCTACTAGGGACCAAGCTTGAAGCTGTAAGATGAAAAGTTCCCAACAGAACAGATCACCTTCCATTCCAATATGCCTCTAGGCCTGAATCCTTCCCGATCCATGAAGAAGGGGTTCTGGGAAAATGGAGAGAAGGGCATCAGGATGGAAAGGCTCTTTCTTGTTTTACAAAAAATGTGTCTTTTTGTAGTTGCCTTTGCTTTCAATCAGACCCAGCATGTTTGTCCACAGTAGATAATGGCACCGTTCTCAACAGGCCTCCCTTTCATAGTCAGGCAAGCAAGAATGGTTCTGGTCTCAAGACCAGACACTATTTCAAGAACACTAGCTTTGACTCTAGAAGTGAGATATTGTTACACAGTTACTAATCATGACTCTAGAAGTAAGATGTTATTATATAGTTACTATTCCTTACCAAGACTCATGTGGCTCTACCCAACCACTCTTCAACTCTAATCCCCTCTGGAGGCCAAGCAAGATGCAGAGTAGCTCTAAACTCTCCATCTAGCCAGGAAAGCTAATCTTCAATCACCTGCTACCTCAAGGGGTGGAGGTCAGAGCAGCCAGACCGGCCATAAATGAAGGGATAGGACAGTTTGTTGCGTTCTTAGTCCCACAGGAGCGTACCACAAAGGGACCCGAGTTCCCAGCACTGAAAGTCACATTAACTCACCTTGATAGAAGGAGGTGGGAAAAAGATTAAGGAATTTGCCAAAGGTATCAGAGATACTTTTATATCTGGTTACATTAGATCATAACTTTGCCAGTTCAAGGCTAGTCCTCAGCTAGGATAAGAATGAAAGTGGATAGAGTAGCTTTTGGAAGCTCTCAATGTAAACTGAGAGGGGTTGGGGGTGGGGGAGACACACTGAAATCAGCTAGGTCAAGGCTGACACAGGGAGAGGCCTTGCTTTGTACAAAGGAAATGTAGTTACAAGTTAGTGGCAGACCATCCCCAACATCCCTGAGCACCACGTTTCTGGGGACAGGAGGGCTGTGTCCAGCCCAGCAGCTGTAGTTAAGACTCAGAGAGCAAGAAGCCAAAAGCAACTCTGGATAGCAGCTCTATGTATTTTTTCCTTCTAAGACCTTTGTAATTTTCTCCCCCCCCACCCCCCGCACCAATTCCTCTCCCTTCCCAGTTTCTCTTACTGCATCTCTCTAGGCCCACCCTTTTTCACTCTTCACCTGGTTGTCGTCTCGGTCCATACTGGCATCATCTCTCTTGAGGATGAATCTCTGTTGAAATTCTGTGTTCTTCTCATCTTTTATGTGTTCTGAGAACCTCTGTTCAGGGCTGAGATGTGGAGAGAAATGTGCAAAGAAGGGAGTTAAAAGACCTTCACATCAAGGATGAGGACTTACAGGCACAGCTCTCCCAAATCCCACATCCTCTATTCAGGATTATTTGGTGTCAGGAATCCAAAAAGGTTTAACGAATCTTTGCATATAATCTCTTCTCTCTCCCACCATCTTCTTTTGAGACTGCATCTTCTGTAGTCTGGCCCTCAACTCCTGATCCTTCCTGAGTGTCAGGACGGTAGCTGTGCACCCTGCACGATGCCTGTACTCATTCAAAGCTGGTCTTGTCCCGTGTGAGGTGAACAGAAGCCAAGGCCAGTGTGTTTAAGACACCAGTTTCTCTAGTCAGAATCTGTCTTGTCTTACAGAAAGTAGGAATCGATGAGGTATCCCTCCCTGCTTCCCCTCCCCTAGAAGAGACATCTGGATTCTACATCTTTCTCTTCTCCTCTATCATAGCAGGTCATCCCATGGAAATGTTTCCAATCCATAGGTTTCCTTACATTCTTGTGTTGCTGGTTTTGTTGATGATGACAGCTTTCCCAGTTTGATCAACATTGTGGTCCATCCCAAAATAGGCAGCTACCCGGTGTAATAGCATCCGGTGGTATGAGGTCATCTGAGGGAACTTCTTGAACTGGTTACTGAAGGGATACCAAGGGTAAAAAGTAAAAGAAGATAACAATAAAAGGCAACTAATTTTCCTTAACAGTGTGAGAACAAAATAGTTTCAGTATTTTGCAGGTTAATTTGTCCCAGTCTCTAGTAATACTACCTGTTCCCACTCTGTGATGCCACTGCTTAAGGCCTTACTTCCACCAGCCCGAGTGTTGTTAGTCAAAGGGAACTGGGAGAGGTAGAGTAGCATCTGGGACAATTCCTAGCTGCTAAAAACATATCAACCCTCACCTGCTCTTACACAGACGCTGTGTAACCTATTCAGACTGCTTCTCCCAGCACCCCTCCACCTCTAAGTGTGCATTCCATAAAAGCAACTCACTTGTTGTCACTGATAAATTCCAGAATCTCCTGTTCCAATTTTAGCAGCATCATTCTGTCCCTGTTTACGAAAGATTAAAACAAACAAAAGCATAGTTCTCCTACAGACATTAAAAGCAGAGACTGAAAACAACTTGTTCATCACAAAACTGAGAGGTTGATCCAAACTCTAATAATGGCCACAGCACAGAGGCTGGTGACTCTCCCTATACTGTCCTGTGTTCTGAAAAAGAGCACCAACCCCAGTACATGCCCTGTATATCTCTCCTAATCATGTACCTGGTTATTCACATGAACAATCTAATTATTAGCAGCATGCTTGTATAAACACATACTTTATGACTGCAAATCTATGCATTATTCTATATCCCACCCAGTTATACAAAGGTTTTAAAAACAGCTATGATTTTGCTTATGTACAAGCCAGGTAGCTCGCTCCTTCAGGATTTTTAACTAGTTAACACTCAAGTCTTCAAAGTTCTTAGTCACTGTACTCTTCTCACACAAAATTTTTTACAACTCTTCAAAACACAGTAATCTCGATGTGAGCTTCTGAATCTCTCAGATATTAAACTCTACTTTTAGAAGAATTGAGAGATGGCCATTCTACATCCTAGTAATAGAGAAAAGTTGAAAAGCTGTTTGGTTTGAAAGGGTCCTGCAACCCCTACCCTACCTTTTTCCCTTCCCACCAATCAGATTATATTACCTTGGGTTCTTTTTCAGTGTATTTACAAGAAATTCATGTAGGTCTATTCCAGTGGAGTCGGTATACTCTTGGCTGGAGTCTAGAACACCACAGCAAAATAAATGTAAAAGAAGAGAAACTGCTTGCATGATATCTAATTTCACACAAAAGCCAGTATCTAAACAGAAATTACGAGAATAGGAAAATTAGAACCAAACTTTAAGTTCCCAGAATACAATCTCGAATGGCGTTTACTGTGAGCTCTGTGACAGTTCCTATCATGGACTGGGCTGTGATAAAGCATTTGTCTAGCATGTGTAAGGCCCTAGGTTCAATTCCAACAACTGCTAACTGAGAGAGACCCTGGGCTGGGGAAATAGCTCAGTGGACACCCACATAAAGCTGGTGTTGCGGACATAGAATGAGGACAGGGGATCACGTGCGTCTGCGGAACTCACTGGCCAGCAGTGAGTCCTACATGCAGTACAGACTGTCTGGACAGGTAGGTGGAGCGGCTGCTTGGATGGCTCAGTGGCGAAGGTGCTCACTGCCATAGCTGGTCACCTGGATTGGATCCCCAGAGCTGACAGTGGAAAGAGAGGGCCCACTCTGAAAGGTGTCCCCTGACCCCCCACACACATCACACACAATCAACAGAGACATACAAAAGTTAAAACAAGGCAGACAGCAACAGGAGACGCCGACCTTCCAACACGTGAACATGTACGCGTGCATACACCAACCCTGCTCCCAAAGCCCCCACACTACAACAACAGAAAGAAGAATGGAAGGATCTGGGCCAGAGTGTTAGTTACATCAATATTACACTAAAATACTACTTAATATTAATAAATATTTGCTGAATGTCCTGATCGAAATAAAGCAGATTTTATTCTACCTAATAAAAACAAAGTACAGGAAAGAACAGTCACAGGTGAATTTTCCAAAAAATCTCAGGGACTTTGTCCAATATATATCCAATATATATTATTTTTTTAATCTCAAGTTTGCTTCATTTGTCAAATACAATTGTTCAAAAACTAAATTTTCTTATGTATGTGTGTAGGTACACATGCCATGGCACAGGTCAGAGCACAACTTTGTAGAGCACCTTGAGGTAGATTCCAGGGATAGAACTCAGGTTGTCAAGCTTGCATTGTAAACACTTTTACCTACAGAGCCATTTTGCTGCACCCTCATATGTGACAATTTTTATACGCTCTGTCTTTTTGCTACTAGCCCAAATGTTTAAAGCCAGAGTCTAAGAAGTAAAAGTATATCTATGCTATAAAACATAATATATCAGGGCTGGGGTGTAGCTCAGCTGGTGGAAGGCTCATTTTAACATACATGAAAAGAAGCCCTTGGTTGGATTCCCTAGAACCACTTAAACTGAGAATAAACAAAGCCAGGACTGACTGACTACACTGACCTATCCTGGGCAGAGTCAATGTTGACAGAGTACCTCTCTGTGGTATGTAAGTCCTGAGGCAAGTTGATTAAAGATGCATAGAAGTACTTAACTTAGTTATTTGCTCCCCCAAGCAACCACAGCAGCAGGAACTGCTGGTCCAGTAAAACCAGTGGACACCAAGGTGTCAAGATGTAAGAAAGAACACTGTAGACTTGTAGCTGCTCAGGAGGCTGAGGCAGGAGAATTCAAGGCCTGCCTGGACTACAAACTAAATTCAAGGACAGCCTGGGAAACTTGGGGAGCTTTTGTCTCAGAATGAAAAGTAAAAGATGGCTGGCGTTGAGCATAGCGGTGGAGTGCTTACCTGGCATGCACAGCACCACACTTAAGGCAGGCACAGTGGCACACAGCACAATCCCAGGGCCCAGGAGGGTAAGACAGGGAGATTATAAATTCAGGGTCGCCTTCACCACAGAGGAAGTTATAGGCCAGGTCAGGCTACATGAGGGCCGCCTCAGAATTTAAGAGAGGAGTGGCAGAGCTGGCTTGGCAGTTAAGAGCCCTGCATGCTTGCCCAGAGGACCCAGGTTTGATATCCAGTGCCCACATGGTGGCTCACAACTGTCAGTGACTCCAGTCCCTGAAGAACTGGTACCCTGTTCTGGCCTAGTTGGGCCCCGGACATGCACATGGGGCACAGATATACACACAAGAAAAACATCCATGCACATAAAATAAAAATAAATCTTGAAAAAAAGAATTGAGATGCTGGGTGTTGGCGCACGCCTTTAATGCCAGCATTTGGGTGGCAGAGGCAGGTGGATCTCTGTGAGTTTGAGGCCAGCCTGGTCTACAGAGCAAGTGCCAGGACAGGCTCCAAAACAATACAGAGAAACTCTTGCCTTGAAAAACAAACAACAACAAAAACACCTTCCTCCTAAAAAGATGTGGTGTAGAGAGAGAGAACACTGGCTCAGGCAGTTAGCTGGATGACAGGCATGGTCCTCACCTCTGGACAGCATCTTCCTGGGGACCTTTTCTTTGCTTTTGTCTTTGTCTTCCTTTTCAGAGACATCCTTTGTGGACTTTTCTTCCTCCTTGTCAGAGGGGCAGCTGATGTGCAACTGAATTATATCCTTAAGTAAAAGGAAAGTGGCACATAATCAAAGAAGGGAAGAAGATTTAAACTCTTTGGTGGATGTGGAGAAATTGGCTCAGATCAATAAAAAGCACCTGTTGCCTGGCAGAGGACCTGAATGCACTTCCCAGCACCATACAGTGGCTCACAACTGTCTCTAACTCCAGATCCAGGGGCTCTGACGCCCTCTTCTGACTTCTGTGGGCATGCACATGATATACAGACATACATTCAGGCATAACATTCATACACATAAAATAAATACTTGTTTGCTTTGTTTTTCCAAATAGGGTGTCTCTGTATAACAGCTCTGCCTGTCTGGAACTCACTCTGTAGACCAGACTGGCCTCCAACTCAGAGATCCACTTGCCTCTGCCTCCTAAGTGCTAAGATTAAAGGCATGCACCACCACCGCCTGGCTAATGAACCTTTTTTAAAATAATAAACTCTGTGTTTCCCTCAAAATCCCAATAAAAGCAAATCTTGGAATGGCAGGTTTATCTTTTCTTTGTGTGTGTGTGTGTGTGTGTGTTTGTGTGTATGTGCCACAATATACGTGGAGCTCTGTTGTGGAATAATGTTTTTGTATACTGCAAAGAAGTATCACTGTTACTGATTTAATAAAAAACTGAATGGCCAATAGGAAGGCACAGAGGACACTGGGGAGAAGAAAATTAGCGACACCAGGAGTTGTTAGCTAGATGCAGAGGAAACAAGACATACACAAGATGAGGTAACAAGTCATGAGCTGCATCTTAGCATGTAAATTAATAGAAATCAGTTAAATTATAAGAGCTAGTTAGAAACAAGACTAAGCTATTGGCCAAGCTTTCATAATTAATGAGTCTGCCCATCATTTTTTGTGAGCTCGCAGTCCAAAAGCAAAGTCTGTCTGCAGAGATCAGAGACCCTGGCTTGAGACAGGCTGGCTTGTGTACTGGTGTGTGCAATGCTTGCTGGTTAGCATCGAGCTCCCAGAGGTTCTTTAGTCTGTGTGTCTCATCTTAACATAAGAACTTTTACATCGGGCATATATACTCAGGTCCTCATACTTGTATGGCAAGGTTTTAGCCACTGTGGTGGTTTGAGTAAAAACGGACATCATAGGTTTATATAATTGAATATTTAGCCACCAGGGAATGACTCTATTTGAAAAGATTAGGTATAACCTAGTTGGAAGAAGGCAGATGTTGGTGGTGCACACACCTGTAATCCCAGCACTCAGGAGGCACAGGCTGGATCTATGTGAGTTCGAGGCCAGCCTGGTCTACAGAGGGAGTGCCAGGACAGCCTCCAAAGCTACATAGAGAAACCCCATCTAAAAAAAAAAAAAAAAAAAAAAAAAAAACACATTATTGGAAGAAGTGTCTGGGGCTAAGTTGTGAGGTTTCAAAAGCCTAAGACAGGCCCAGTGGCTCTCTTCCTGCTGCCTATGGATCCAGATGCAACATCTCAGCTATGCCATGCACCCTGCCATGATGACAATTAAATGTTTTCCTTATAAAGGTTGATGTGGTCGTGGAGTCTCTTCACAACAATAGACACTGATTGAGACATCCACTGAGTCACCTTAACAGCCCCAACTTTATCTTATAGAAGAGTATATGTTACTCAGGAGGCAGAGGCAGGCAGATCTCTGTGAGTTCAAGGCCAGTCTTGTCTATAGAGGAAGTTCCAGGATAGCCAGAGCTGTTACACAGAGAAACCCTATCTCAAAACACACACACAAAAATCCTCCCCCCCTACCCCGGAAAAAAAAAAAAAAAAAAAAAAAACAAACAATAAAAGAAGAATGTATGTTGTTAGTTACTTTGGATTTTTGTTTCACCAGTCAAGCAGAGGGCAATCTTTTCCTGTCGGAACTCACAGCTGAAGCCACACTGGGTACCCCTTGTAGGAACTGGATGGCAAGGGCAGGTCACTCAAGTGAAAGGAAGTGGCTGGGAACCATTCAGCCCTGGGTCCTCTGCCACATGAGCAAGATACTAAGACTCACATTCCCACTGTAAGAGCTTTTCCTTTATGATTTATCTATCTGCATTTTATGCACGTTGGTGTTTTGCTTGTATGCATGTCTGTGAGGGAGTTGAGATCTCAGGAACTGGAGTTAAGGACAGTTGTGGATTGTCATGTGGGTGCTGGGAATTGAAACAGGATCCTCTGGAAGAGCAACCAGTGCTCTTATTTGCTGAGCCATCTCTCCGGCCCCTAAGAGCTTTTCTTTAAAGTGCCCTTTCATGCAAGTCTTGGTAGTGCAGGTCTGTAATTCTAGCACCCGGGAGGTCAAGGCTGGATTATCAAAATCATCTCTGGCTACATAAAGAGTTTAAGGCTAATCTGAGGTACATAAGACCCTGTCTCAAAACAAAGCAACATACTTTCTTCCTTGATTTCTAGGTCTAACATCCATGTTGTGATTGCTCTTATGCTTTACCCAACAATTGCCATGTTCAGCACTTAGGCTTGTAAAAGACCTACCTGCATGTCTAGTGACCCATCAGCAAATGGAGTGGAGGATTCCTCACACACCGCCAGACTGCGTACCAACTTGAGCTTGGAATTAGACTGAAAAACAAAACAAACATTAAAGATGCATCTCATATAGTGTTTTGGTAAATATTTAGAAAATACCTTCTTAGACTCTGCCAGTAGCAGTTTCTGTTAAGTAGTGTTGTTCTTTTTTTCTTTTTCTTTCTTGCTTTTTCTTTTCTTTTTTAATAGGTTATAACTTTGAAGTTCTAGCTGTCCTGAAATTACTATGTAGACCAACCAGGCTGGCATGGGGGAGATTTTGGTAAATATTAAAACTCATATAAACAGCCATTCTCCTAGAGAAGCCAGGAGTGAGCAGAGAAATAAGCAGCTCAGTACAAATACCCTCAGGCCCTGTGGGTCCTCTCAGACAAAGGGGAGGGACTGGAGCCCGTCCCCCAGGAGGAAATGTATGTAAGTGTGCATGCCACAGCCAAGTGCTGCACACGCCTTTAATCCCAGCACCTGGGAGGCAGAGGCAGGTGGATCTGAGTTCGAGGCCAGCCTGGTCTACAGAGTGAGTTCCAGGACAGCCAGGGCTACACAGAGAAACCCCATCTCAAAATGTGTGAAAGACGGTCATGACTGAGATACAATAGGCAGACAAGAAAGCTTTGCCCATATGTAATGTGAGTAACCTAGACAATCCTGAAACACACATTTACGAAATGTGTAATGAATGAAGTTACACAGTAAGAGACGGGAGAAGAGCTCTCACCTTGGCTCTTTTCCTGTTGTGACCATGGCTAGATGTCCGTCTCTGTTAGAAAAGGATTAAAGAACAGGGAAGATGGAGAATCAGTACTGTGAGCAATGCACGTTACCAACAACACACTAATTACTGGCATTCTAAGTGCCATCACCCTGTGGTGAAAATCTTTTGGTGTGGCTGTTGCCTGATCCCAACCCCAGCAAGTTCACACAGAGCATCATTCCCCACAAAACAAAGTCTAAGAAGACAGGTAACAATCTCCTGGGTTATTCACATGACTCTGAACTTCATGATTAAACTTATTTCCCCAGATATCATTCCACAGGACATATACTTTTATTGTGATGATACACAGTATTTCATTGTGTGGCTATGCTACAGTTTATTTTTACCAATCTCCCCCCCCCATATATAATTTCTAGTCTTGGTTTTTTGAGACAGGGTTTCTCTCTACAACAGTCCTGGTTGTCCTGGAACTTACTTTGTAGACCAGGCTGACCTTGAATTCACCAAGATCCACCTGAATCTGCCTCCCAAGCTCTGGGATTAAAGGTGTGTGCGACTACAACCCAGTTGATGTTTATAATCTTTACTAGTATAAACAGTGACTGCGTCATTAATATAGGAGACCTATGGTCTATTTTATAGACTTTATGAAGTGTTGCTAAAATGCCCTTCAACGTGTATAAATGTCTACTCTACTAATAATGTATGAATCTACTTACTTCCCATATGGTTAATTTTCACTTAACAGCCAAACCAAGTTCAAGCCTACCACAGATCAGGTACCAGGCAGAGAGAGCATATATACAATCATGCTCTCCTCAAACTTTCCAACTCTCATTTAAAACAGGAAGAAAGAAACAGAAGCAATGGCTGGAGTTAAAGGACCAAATCACATGATGGAGAGTATGAGCCCCAGACTGAGGCAGTAAGACACACAGAGAGCTTTAAGAGAATTAACATGATCAGTTCGTTATTTTGGTCATTTTTCTAAAGCAACAGAACAGAGGAGCCCAAAGGCATTATAAATATGAAGGCAGGAAGTCCAGTCAGGAGACCACATTCAGCTGGTTATTAATACGGCATACCTGAGTTCAGTATGTGTTGATATGGTAGCTTGCCCATTCCAAAAAAAAATCTTAGAACCTGCATTTTTGTGCCACTAAATCTCCCTGTAAAATTTGCTCTGAATCCCAATAACCTATTCCCAAAATACATGTCACATGGTCCAAGCAAAACAGCCTCCTCTCTTTCAAACTTTTCAGCAGCAACTCAGACAGGGACTTCTTTGACAGCACCAGTTAGATCACGGTGCGGCAGACCACAGAAGTAAGGGGGAGAGAAACTGGAGTGGAGAGGAAGAGGGAGCAGGGTCTTCACTGCCGAGAGACTGTGTGCCATGCTGAGACACAGAAGAGGACAGTGCATCCTAAGGAGCTGCCAGGGGCCAAAGGCTTTGTAAAGAACAAGAGCTCTACCTCCTGTGGTGGGAGCAGAAGGAGTCACACAAGGGGGAGCCAGTCTTCTCCAACCCCACCTGCCAACCAGCCATATCCTGAGATGCAAATAATTTTTTAACCAGATGAATGCCTCAAAGGAAATATAAAACCTAAAATGTTCTTTCGTTACTGTCTATCTTTAAGACACATACACAAGCGTTCAAAAGATAACCGTCTCCTAAAAATGAATAACTTGGATCTAAAAGTTAGTTTAATTATTATCTTTCATGTAATCTTGACAGCATATAATTAAACACTCATCACGTATCTGTCCTGAGTATTTAAAATTCACTCTTGGTATCAGTGGAGGCTGGAGTGCGTTTGGACTGTGGTCAATGTCTCCATGTACTCTGGAAGGAGAGTGGGGACGAAACTCACGCAGATGCATCCCCACACAGACAGAAGACAGAGAGGACAGCATCAGGACACAGATGTGGCAAACTGTGGGAAGACAGCAGAGGGACAGACACTGGGGACAGGTGTCTTGGGGAGCTGCTTGCTTTTAACTCACCCCTTTATGTTGTGGTTGCCTTAATCTTTAAAGGAGACATGCCTATGTGAATTAAGTTGTCTTGAAGAATTATGCTTTGAGTTTCTAGGCCTTGCAAATTGACAATTGCTCCTGGTTCTACCTAATCTGGCTTTTGCTAGAGTTAATGTTCTATCTCCTAGGCTTATAATAATAAGGCCCAGTCTCACCCTTGGGCATGAAATGAAGGATTTACAGAAACTGGCTTGTGTCACAGAAGAAAGCTAGAGCAACCACAGAGAAAAGAGGTCTCTAGCAGGCTAGCTGGATAAGGCTCAGAGTCTGGCCAAACTGGGCATAGTGCCACATGCTTTTAATTCCAGGCAGGTGGATTGCTGTGAATTCAAGGCCAGTCTGGTTTGCAGAATGAGTCCTAGGGCAGCCAGCTACACAGAGAAACTGTGCTTTGTAAAAACAAGAATGGGGTGAGGGGGTGGGGAGTGTCAAGTCTCCAGAGCCTCAGAATGTGGCAATATCTTGCTTGTAAGTGGACACCAAAGAATACCCTGTGGGTCCTGGGATTAAACACATTTCTCCAGCCTCTTACAATTTTTATTAGTTGGCTTGAGACAGGGTCTCATAGGTCTCACAAGCCCTGGCTTGGTTGGAACTTAACGTATAGAGCAGGCTGGCTTTGAACTCACAGAGATTTGCCTCCCTTGTTTCCTGAATGCTGTGACTAAAGACATGTGCTTCCATGGCCAACAGCAGTTTATTTTTTGATAGTTAAAAATATCACCGGAGTGGGCTGGAGAGATGGCTCAGAGGTTAGGAGCACCGGCTGCTCTTCCTGAGGTCCTGAGTTCAATTCCCAGCAACCACATGGTGATTCACAGCCATCTGTAATGAGCTTTGGCTCCCTCTTCTGGCCTGCAGGCATACATGCTGGTAGGACACTGTGTACATAATAAATAAATCAATCTTTAAGAAAAACAAAAAATCCTTGGAAGGGCTGGAGGCATGGCTCAGTGGTTAATAGACTGGCAGCTATTCCAAAAGACTGAATTCCATCCCCAGCACTCACGGAGCAAATGACTCACAACTGTCTGTAACCTCAGGCACTGCACATACATGGTACACACACAGTGCAGACATACACACAGGTACACACACAGTGCACACATACACACAGGTAAAATACCCATATGCATAAACAAAACCTCAAAACTTAAAAAAAAACCACTATCAGTGGTAGGATTAAAGAGATGGGTCGATGGTCAAGAGTACTAGCTGTTCTTGTACTGGGCCTAGGTTCTGTTTTCAGCAAGCACATGGAGGCTAACAGCGCCAGTCCTAGAGGAACCAATGGTTTCTTCTGGCCTCTGTGGACACACATAGGCACACACATATATAAACCACTCATATGATCTAGCTATATTTGCATCTGTCTATCCATATATCTGTCTATCAAGTTTGAGGGTCAGCTTGAACTACATGAAACGCTGTCTTAAAAGCTCTAAAAATAGGCCAGCAGTGGTGGCGCACGCCTTTAATCCCAGCATGCTGCAGAGGCAGATGAATACTCTGTGAGTTTTAGGCCAGCCTGGTCTACAGAGTGAGTTTCTAGACAGAGAAACCCTGTCTAAAAAACAAACAAACAAACAAACAAACAAAACCAAACAACAACAAAAAACACTAAAAATAAATATGCAAATAAATAAAAAATGCAAGAGTAGGTTGTCCCTTGTGCTCAGTGGAGTACAGTCACCCCATGGTCTAGCCCAGGACAGTGCAGTGTGTTTCTCAGTGGTAGGCCTGCTTTTTTAGTTACAAATCTGAGCTGCAGTGTAATAAAGTGATTCTCAACCGATGGGTCACAATTCCTTTGGGGTTGCATATCAGATGCATTACTATTCATAACAGTAGCAAAATTACAGTTATGAAATAACAACAAAATAATTTTATGGCTGGGGGCAGTCAGCACAGCCATTGGTTGCAGCCTTAGGAAGGCTGGGAACTAGAGGGTGCCATGTTGGTAAAGACAACCAATGGTGCCTTAAGCTGCAGGCCCACCAGCCCTGACAGCTTATGCCTGCTGTATTAATAAAGAGGGTGCCAGTTCCCTCCCATGTCCCCTGCCCTTCTTCCCACCAAGTTCCCAGCAGTGACCTCAGTGCGCCTTTGAAAGAACAAAGCTCAGTAGCCAGGGCCCCAGGCAGGCTGCCCTCGGCACCAGAGGGCAGGAAGAAGCTGAGAAGATGCTGACCCTGCACCAAGGCTGTGCGGGGTGAGATATTTACGATGCCTGCCCCTGTTGCACTTTCAAGCCTGTTTTGATGTAAGAGGGCACTATGCTGGCCATTTTTAATTTCTGTACCCATACAAAGTTTATGGTTGGTGATGTTACTCTCTTTCTTAAAACATTTTAGAATCTCCTCCTATTCTGCAAGGAAGCAATCCCAATTATATTAAAATGAGACCTAACAATATGCCTTAAGAAAGTCATGGAGCTTCCTCTTATACAATAAAAGTACAGGCTAAAATTACAAGAAAATGCAGCAAATATACTGACAGCCAGTGAACTCAGGTCCACACAGATTCGGGATCTCATTCTTTTGCCTTCATCATGGACTCTGTGACTATATAGGGTGGATTTTCTTTTCTTTCTGAGAGGCAGGGATTCAGGTAGCCTGGCCATGAACTTGCTGTATAGCCAAAAATGACTCTGAGCTCCTGGTCTTTCTGTCTTTACTTCCTAAGGGACTGTAATCTACACAGTGGACATCAGCTGTCATCCTAGAGTCAACCAAAGAATTATCTTAATCACATTGACCTGTGGCTATATCTGTGAGGAATTTTCTTTTTTTCTCTTTTCTTTTCTTTTTTTCTCTTTTTTTTCCCCTTTGGATTTTCGAGACAGGGTTTCTCTGTATAGCTTTGGAGCCTGTCCTGGAACTAGTCCTGGTAGTCTCTAACTCACAGAGCTCCCTCTGCCCCTGCCTCCCGAGTGCTGGGTTTAAAAATTTGCACCACCACCACCTGGCTGAGGCATTTTCTTTTCTTCTTTTTTGTTTTTGCTTGTTTTGTTCTGGCTTTGTTTTTTTTTTTTTTTTTGTTTTGTTTTGTTTTTGTTTTTGTTTTTCTTTCTTTCTTTTTTTTTTTTTTTTTTTTTTTTTTTTTTAAGACAGGATTTCTCTGTGTAGTTCAGGCTGTCCTAAAACTCTCTGTAGACTACACTGGCCTCGAACTCAAGAGATCCACTTGCTGGGATTAAAAGCATGCTTGAGGCATTTTATTGTTAACTGATGTGGGAGGGCCCAGCCCACTGTGGATGATAGCTCAACAAGCCAGTAAGAAGCCTTCTCTCACAATCCACGTTGCTGCTTGAGCTCCTGCTCTGATCTCTCCCAACAATAAACTATAACTTGTATGCTGAAAGAAACCCTTCCCTCTCCAAGTGCTTTTTGTCAAATGTTTTATCATAGCAACAGAAAATCAAACAGGATACAAAGTGCATGACTATGCCTGACTATGGGTTAAGTTTTTGGCAAGCACATGTTAGGGAGAGATCATATCAGAAATCAACAGATCCCTATAATTTTCTGCTTCTTGTCAAGTTAAAGGACTGTGAACACAACACACTGAACCCTTACCTGTGTCTCCTGGCGCAAAACAGCCTCTTCACCCTCTTTGTCAACTTCTTCCTTACTTGCAGTTTTAGTTACAAATTTGTTTTTGTTTACAGACTCTTCCACCAGTTTTTTCTCTGATTCTTTCATTATTTCCAGAGTCTCCTGAGTAGTGTTACTGTTAGACATGTTCTGCAGTGCAGACAGCCGCTTCTAGAGGTTCCTGAGAAACACCAAAGGCATCAGATGAGAGGTTCAGCTACACACATTCACACACACACACACACACACACACACACACACACACACACACACCCACTCTCTCTCTCACACACACACACACCCCTCTCTCTGTCTTTCTCTGCTAGCAGTTTCCCTAGAAAAAAGTCCTCTGATAAATACTGCCCGTGGATTAGTTTCTTTTATTTATCTATTTTAATCCTACTTATTTATTTATTTATCCATTTATTTATATTTTTTGGAGACAGGGTTTCTCTGTGTGGCCCTGGCTGTCCTGGAACTCACTCTGTAGACCAGGCTGGCCTTGAACTTACAGAGATCTGCCTGCCTCTGTTTCTGTGCTGGGTTTAAAAGTGTACACCACCACACCCAGCTTTCTTTTTAAACTTTATTGTAGTAAAACTGATATATAATATAGTATATATCTAATTAATTAAATTTGGTGTTTAGAGATAGGGTGTTCTATGTAGTCCTGATTACAAGTATATGCTATCGTGCCTGGCTACCTACATAATTTGAAATGCATAATTTGATGACTTGTAATATTAACATATCTGTGAAACCATCACTACAACAAAGCTAGTGAGTACACTCACTATTCCTCATGACCCTGCCTAGCTCCCTCTCTCTACACCGCCCCCCCCAGGTCTAGTCTGTGTCCTGTCACTTCAGATTAATCTGTACTTTCTAGATACTGCCGATGGGGTGCTGTGGACCAAACCCAGACCTCACTAGTGGTAAGCACACACATTGTCTAGAATCTCAGAGGGGAAATCACACTATCTGACAATTTTTTCAATATAACTATTTTGACATTGACCTGAGTTAAGTTCTAAAAGAGTTTACAATGAGTTCTAAGTTCTCCTGGCACTTTATATATGGCCACAGCAGAAACCTGCTCATATTTTCAGCTATATTATTTAACCCACTACATTTTTTTCTAGAGAGAGGAAAAAATGTATCATAAAGCTCCATTCATCACCAGAAAACACCCTTCTTTAACAAAAGGGAGAACTCCCACAGCTACAAACCACAAAACTGTTACTAGCTTCAAGCTACACACTATCAAAAAGCAGCTAAATTATACAACAGAACAGCATCTTACATACTTTCTTTTAAGTGGCTGAAAGTACTCAAGAAGAGAAGAACTTTCTAGCCATCTGTCCTCCAAAAAGACTTGAGTGTCTTCCTGGAGCAGGAAGAAATCTAAGCTCTGCTATTCACTATTGTGTTCAATCAATCTACTGCCTCCCAACGACTCAGGCAACACATGACTAGGCCTGTCCCTGCCACTTATGTCACTGCCTGGGAAATGTCGGGTTCCTGTCGATTCTCAGTTATGTCTAAGACAGTAGACCTGGGGAGTTCAAACTCACTCTGGTCCAAGAATACTCATAAATGCTACTTCTTACAGGGATTACTGAGTGTAGTTCTATCCCAAATAGGTTCTTCTTTCCTTAATCCAACCACATATATTCCCAGTATAGTTATACAATCTGAGCTAAATAGTAAATGATTAACAATGCTTTCAGAAAATTGTCAACCAGACATTTCCTTATTCTTTCAATCAACATAAAGGGGCAGACCCAAAAGGCTGAGAGGCACAGATGCCGGCCTCATCCAACACAGGCTGAACTGCCTGGGTTACTGCTCTGTCTGCCTGGCAGCAACTCCTGAGCAGCTGTTAGAGACCTGGTTTGCCTAGGGACAAAAAAATTTATCTTTCATGCTGAGCACAGTGGCACACACCTATAATCCCAGCAACTGGCAGGCAGAGGCCAGCCTGATCTACATAGCAGTTTCCAGGACAGCCAGGAATACATAGAAAGACTCTTTCTCAAAGGAATATAAATGACTGACAGCTAGGCGCTCTGGTTTTCCCGTATCCCAGCACCTGGGAGGATGGAGGCCGAGAGAGAAGGGAGGAAGGTGCTGTATATGATTATACCACCTTGGATGTGCCCAATGTCATCTAAATGGGAGGAATAAAGTACTGTTTTATATAAAGTAACTGATGTATGTTACAACCACCAGGTGTTTTTGATCATTGGCTGTATATGAGATTTTATCTTTATATCCTGTCATGTTTATACATGATTAGCTTTAAATTTTTAGTGTGTGTATATATATGTGTGTTATGCATGTGCATGCGTATGCCTGTATATGTGTGTGGGGGCCTGTTGTATGTATGTGTATGTGCACATGTATAGTGTGTGTGTATGTGAGCGTGCAGCAAAAGTGAAGGTCAGAGGATAACTTGTAGAAGTTAGTTTTCTCCTTTCACTCTGTAGACGAGGCTGGCCTCAAGGTGTGTGCCACTACACCCAGCTCAAAATAACCATTGATTAAGGTAATTTTTGTCGGTAATCCTATGTAGAAGTCTCTGCATATTTTTGGCAAATAAGAATTCCTAGCAATAAATCTTGGTGGGGGTGAACACAAAAGTGAAAGTAACAGCTTAAGCAAGTCAATTTATTAACTTTTAGAAATACTAAAAAACAAAGAATAGGCAGGGATATGGCATGGCTTATGGAATAAAAGTACTTACTGTATAAACATGAGTTCTTGAGTTCAAATACTCAGAACCTGAATTCAAACAAATAAACACACAAACAAAAAACAAAACAACAAAACCCACAGGCATGAGCCAGGTGTTGGTGGCAGCCTGATTTTAATCCCAGCACTCAGGAGGCAGACAGGTGGATCTGTGTGAGTTAGAAGTCAGGCTGCTCTACACCAGGGCTAGGCCAGCCAGGGTTGCACATGCCTATTCCAGTATTGATGGGTGGAGATAGGCATTGTCCCTGAGCTCTCTGGGCTACCAGCAATAGCCAAAATTGGGTACAGTGGGAGACACCCTATCTTTTCTTCCTCCCTCCCTCTGACTTTTTGAGACAGGCTCTCACTTTGTAAATCTGGCTAGGCTGGAACTCACTATGTAGACCAGGCCGGCCTCAAACTCACAGAGATCGGCCTGCTTCTGCCTCCTGAGTGCTGGGATTGAAGGAGTGCGGCAGCAGCCCTGTGAGAGACCTGTGTTACAAAGTGTCAAGGCAGAGAATAGAGGGAGACTCTGAGTGTCCTCTGGCCTTCACACCCACGTGCAGGCACCTGTGCACACACCCCACGTGCAGGCACCTGTGCACACACCCCACGTGCAGGCACCTGTGCACACACCCCACGTGCAGGCACCTGTGCTCACGCACTTGTGCTTGGTTGCTTGTACACACTGTTGTTCTTTTCATACAACTATTGCCTAAGAAACACAAACACTCAGTGCCCATGTGGAGTTTATTGAGAGAGGGGAGAGAAATGGGGGGTAGCTGGTGGCCAACTGAAAGCAGGAGAGAGAGAAAGAGAAAGGAGGAGTCAAAGAGAGAGGCGCGCTTGCTTTAAAAGGGAAACTTGCCCATGCGTAACTGAGTCCCCTGGCAGCCAGGTAAAGCTTGAGCAGCCAGGGAAAGCCTGACATAGGGATGGCATGGCCATCGTGAGGAGCAAAGTCAGCAGATTGCTGGTTCCCAACACACACAAACACATCAAATTTTTTTAAAAAAAAATGTTTAAAGTGAGGTGGCTTTAGCCAACACAAGGCACAGAAGTAACTTCCCCTTCTAATGGTTTATCTGGCATAGAGAAGAAATTAAGGAGTTGGGAGATTTTATTTTTGGCAGGAGAAACAAAAAGAGACTATTTCACACGTAACAGTGGCGAGAACAAAGGCATGAAGCCCCAGGGAGGCCCATACGAGATGCGAGCGCTTCCCTGTAACCCAGCTGCCCATATTGTACAGTGCACCCCAAGGAAGGACCTTCTGAGGACACTCACTGGCTCAGGGCTGCACAGAGAGACGCCTGGGCAACAAGACCCAACAATTTCCTTCATGGAGAACACTACATGTTCCCCATAAATTTTGACCGCCACATCAGTACCTTCCAGGGCACAGTAAGATTACCTATTCTTCCACAACTTTACAAACAACTTCCAAGGCAATAGAGCAAAAGGGAACATTAAATAGGGGACACTCAGAGAGAAAGACTCACATATTTGTAGTCTCTCTCCCAGCCTCTCTTTCTGAGACAGGGGCCTGCTATCTATCTCAGACTAGCCTTGAACCTACACTATTCCTGCCACAGTATATTAAGTGCAGCACTCTAGGACACATCATCTCAGATTTCTTCTTCTCCTTTACAACTGATGTTAGGTAGAGAGAACACAAATAAGACAATAATAGGTACTAAAAACACTGACTTACCCTGTGGCAAATTTCTTGTAAAGGTTTCTAGCCCTTTCCTCATTCACATATGAAGAGCCAACTGCTCCAAAGCAATAAAGTAAAAAAAAAAAATATTGGGCCAGTGAGATGGCAAAACAGGCTCTTGCCTCTTTACATAATTATACGAAGTTTAAGAATAAAACCCAACTAAGCATATAACTATAATCTAAGCACAGTGTGTCAAGGAAGAAGGAGCATGTGTGTGTGTATGTGTGTGTGTGTGTATATATATATACACACACACACACACACATACACACACATACCTGAGCTGGGCTGTGAGATCCTGTCTCACAAGGGGCTGGAGAAACAGCTCAGCAGTTAAGAACACTTGTTAATTTAACAGAAGACTCAGGTTCAGTTCAGTTCCAAGAACCCACACGGTGGGTTAAAACTGAATGTTAACTCCATTTCCAGGGGATCTGATGCTCTCTTGGACATGGTACACATATAGAACAGGCAGGCAAAACATTCATAAAAACAAATTGTTCATAAAAACAAATTTTATCAAATAAATAAAATAAATATAAAGAAAACAAAAAAAAAAGAATAAGTAAAACTCATCTATGGTGACTAAGTCAGAAAATGTCTGTTTTAAGAATTAAAGATAAGGGCAGGGTAGAAAATGACTGATAAGAGAAAGTAAGGTACGGTTTTCGAGTTAATGCAAATATTACATCTCGTTGGGTGTGGTAGTTCATGCCTAT